ATCCGCTCCTGCAGCCAGGACTGGTAAATTTAGGTTTAGTTAAGATGGCCACTTCATAAAATGGCAGAGTATAAATACTCCCATTGTAACTCCACCCCGAGCTTACTAGCTGTCTCTCAACTTCCTCTAGCTGTTATGCCTACCTCCTGGCTCTGCCATGGCCCACTCCCCTAGCTGCGCTGTTCCATGTGCTACAATTTACTTATTTATTTATTTAGTAAATAATTATTGTCAAACTAATATACTAACACATTAAGATGTAATTTAATGCAGATCCTTTTTTTCAAGTAAAAGCACCTAGAAGTTTGTAGTGTGTGTGTGTAAGTTGGGCTGTAAAGATTGTGTATCTAGAGGCTTTAGAATATATGTGTGTGTATATCGATAGGGGGTTGTAGAGTGCATTTGTGTTTGGGGATGCAGCGTATATACACGTGTATAGGAGCTGCATAATATGTGTGTACTAGTCATTGAAAAAAAGGTAGGGGGAGGGGGACCAAAAATTGCTAAACTAAATAAACCTAGGAAATGGATGAGTTTTGCATCACTGCTGCACGCTTCCTTAACATAAAATGGAATAACCACTTTAAATAGGACAGAGAGAAGAAAACCATCCCTTCCCGGCCTTTTCCATTGCTTAATGGTCCAGTTTTGATGCTCACATTCCCATTGAAGGCACTTTTAGGGATGGACAGGTGTCATCATGGCCACTCTGACTGGTCTGCAGCTACACAGCCCCATACGCAGCAAACTTCAATGCGCCATGGGTTCTGACACCTTTCTATCATGGCTATTCATTCTTGGAGCCTTGAATAGTGCATCTCTAATGCACTTAGTTTTTACTTTTCTATCATTGGTCAGCATTAGGTTTGTCATCAATTTGAGCCACAGTAGTTCTTCTGTATGATCGGACCAGATAAGCTGGACTTCATGGGGTGCCTTGGTGCCCATAACTCTGACCCGTGTTCACCGTTTCTCCTTCCTTGCCCCACTTTTAATAGGTACTAACCACAGAATACTTGGAACACCCCACAAGGATGGCCATTTTGAAGATGCTCTGACCCAGTCATCTAGCCATTGCTATTTGGCCCTTGTCACTCAGATCTTTTCTCTTGCCCATTTTCCTGTTTCCAACACATGAAATTCAAGGTAAAAGTGTTCTGTGAAAAAGGGGCGCTTAAAAAGTGTTGTATATTTGAGCTGCTACCACCAGGGACGTTTTAGCCACGATGCAAACAAGACAAATGTCCCAGGCAAACAAGGCCCCCAAATGCCCAGGGCAAATGTCTTGTTAGCCTTGCGGCTAGCTGACATGCCGGCCGGGCTGATGGGCTGGCTGCTGGGCGATCGGGGGGCGCTGGCGGGTGGCTGGCGAGGGAGCACTTCCTCTGAGCTGTCTGCTCAGCTCCCTCGTGCGCCACAGAGTGAGGCTGGGAGCCGGAATATGAAGTCATATTCCAGCTCCAAGCCTCACTCTGCGGCGCGTGAGGCAGCTGAACAGAGTGCTCAGAGGAAGTGCTCCCTCGCCAGCCGCCCACCCAGCAGCCAGTGGACCTGCCTAGGACAGCACAAAACCAGGATACCAAGGCATTTTGTGATCTGAGCCAGGCCACTTTTTGTCTCTTTACTTCAGTTTGACCAATATATGTTTTAAAACTCCCATTTTTAATACATTCTACACTATATATTTTTCTCTCAATGTATAGCCCAATCATAGGATTTCATTCTAATGTTTATATTGGGGTAAGTGTTCTCCTTTTTATACCTTAGCACTCCACCAAAAGGGTTAGGTAGAGGGTTTTGCCTTCTAGCACCTTTTTCTAGTCTTCCATTACATAAAAATTCCAGAACTGACTGTTATTCACTTCATCTGTCAGTGGTTTTAATGTTTTGGCGGATCAATCTTTCAAATGTTCAGTTTTCAAACACTGCCTGACCCAAGGTGTATGTATACAGCTGAAGGATCATATCTTATACTAAAGGTAGGGATGAGTTTTTCTTATGTTTTTACATATACTTAATTTAAAAAAATGTACTTCGGGGCGGAGCCTGACTGCCAAGCGGACCAGACGCGTGTTGCGAGAGCTCTCGCGTCTGGCTTCAATAATCGATGGTGATTCCCAGCCAACTCGCTTTTTTGGCTGCAGTATATCGATCTTCATGTAACAGGGACAACGGTGATCCCAGAGATACCACACTTGAGCTTCTCTGTGCCCGGATTGCTTGAGCCGAGGCTTTGTGGCCTACGCGAGATAGGTCAGAGGAGAGGCGGCTGCTCTCCAAGTTCTACTGGCGGTTGTAAAATCAGTATCCTGCTATTCCCCTCCCCCCTTTGGACCGGTGGGGGTTATCCCAGTCCCCAGTGGACTGACCTACGCTGCACCTTTTGTTTAGGATAGCTTGCACTACCTGACTGGATACAACGCTTACTAAGATGGCGGAAGGGCCTACCACAGAGCAATGCCACAATGCAGTGAGCAGACTGACTCCACTAGTTGCGTCTTGCTGAAGCTGTACGTGACATTTGGAGACTTTTGGGCCCGACTGGAGGAGCGCATGTTTCCTCCGGGAACAGATCAAAGGGGCGAGATGTGCAGGTCGAGTGCCCCACCCCCCCTTGATGACGCAAGTTACCGAGCTCAGGTTCCTCACAAGAAGAGCCAGCGCGCGCTGAAGAAACCTTGGGGTCGGAAACCCAACATCTCACCCACTTAAACGGAGGACCATAAATCGAGTCTAACAACAAGCCACAAGAGTATACTGCTTACTCCCTTCGGGGAGGGACTCAGACTGTGAGAACCGCTGGGTCTGAGGTTTTGAAGACCTTTGATGGGGCTGGAGGGGAGCCTTGACCCGCTGCTGTAACGCCGATCTACCCGGTGAACTCTCCGAATATCTGCCAAGCCTGCTGCCTGCCAAGCATAAGAGTTGGCTGAGAAACAAGCCTTGAATAAGAATTTTCTGTTGCCACCCAGCTGAGTTCATGTGACACATGAAAATTCCTAATGTCTTTTATTAATTTGTTAAGTTTCGACCTGTTGTCTCAATTTTCAATTGATTTCAATTCTTAAGCAACACACTCCAGTCAATATATATAATCACTGTAGCAAGGTCTCTATAAGAGATAGCAGATATAATTTCCACACTGCTTGTAGTACAATAGATGCAGTTTGATTGCTCCGATATTATACTCTAACTTTTATGCCTACATGCTATGGCATCGTATATTAACCCAGTGGTAACTATCTATTTGGTACTAACTGCATGATCAAGCTTGTTATTTTTAGTTTCATTTTCCTAACTCGTACTAACTATCACAAGTGAAGTGAGACATCTCAGCTAGTTAACCATATTAAGATTACGACATGACTGTCACTCCCTGTTACTCTATAGTCATTCACGATCTACTTACTCTTAGTGCGTACAACCTATCTCACTCATAAGACAGCGACTACTTCAATATGCGCTATTCCTCTCTTGTCTTACACCTTTTATAAAAATATATGTGGTGGTGTTCATGTACACTTACTATGTTTGGTTGCGCTATCCTTTGCTACCTATTTTGTGTATATTGTGCAACCTTTGTTATTCAAATGCACAACAAAAATAAATAATTTTTCATAACTTGATGAAAATCGTATTATATTAAAAATAGTTTTGATGTAACAGTTGTCCTTTAGAATTCAGTTCACTACATTTTGTAGTATATTGCATGTACTCCACACCCCGCTTTATAAATAATAATAATAATAATAAATAAAACAAATACTTTACTTAAGGGTGCTTATAAGGAAATTGATTATATTTCTGTGAGTGCCTCCGTCGAACGATGCTCCTAGTGCTCGCCAAGGACCATCAGCACCGCACTCGACACCATTACCACCGCAAACCCCACGAACCGCCGCAGCTTGGTTTGGGTTTCGCCGTCCTTCACCCACTCTGGACCCAAGACTGGGTTCCAGGTTCCAGTGGGTGAACCTCTCATTAGTCCAGAGAGCGGAACAGGAACAGCTCCTACAAGAGCTAATGATTATACTCTGGGCCATCAGGCCCAGAGGCACACAAACCAATCAGAACAATACAACAATGTCCGACACTCCCACATACAGCACACAAGCCCTCCCTTCTGCCTGTAATACAATTAACTAAGACAATGGACTAACTCAATTCACTCAAAGCAGAAAAAAACATACATTTTTACAAACCCCAAAAAGTACCCCAAAATACAACATATCCCCACAAATCAAAGTCACATCCCCTGATAGCCCCGATCTGGGTGAACAACATATCCAAAAATTACCGAGATCGGTTGAGGGGTTCAGGAACTTCCTGGAAGTCTTATTTGGTCCCATGCCCAAAACAGTTCCATACACTCTACGGCAAAACACTGCTGGACAATTTAAGATGGCCGCCACCACATGTTTGAATCTGTTCCAGTTAAAAGTCCAAGGGGCAGAAACAGTGCCTTTAAAATTCAATATGCCCAAATAGTGTTTTTAAAGGACAATATATCCCAGGGGCCATAGTCACAGGGCAAGAGGCTGGCAAGCAGGCCTCTCCAAATCCCAGTGATGAAGGTGCTTTCGTCACACCTGCTATGTAAACATAGCAGTTTCTCTGAAACTGCTATGTTTACATGTGAAGGGTTAAAACCCGAGGGACCTGGCACCCAGACCACTTCATTGAGCTGACGTGGTCTGGGTGACTATAGTGTCCCTTTAACCATTGGGTTATGCACAAATGCCAGTAATGACATTTCAGCTTTAATGAAGAAACTGTTCATGATAGACCCTCTTTTATTCACCCCACTAATCACTATGTGGAATTGCAAACTCCCCTTTTATAGTGGTATGGATTCTGGCAAAAAAAAAAAAAAGAATTCTCACGGGAAAAAACAATGATATAACTGCATTAACGAACGTTTTGCTGTCACGTCCTTGTGTTTGGTAAAGAGCTCTGCAGCGACTTCCTGTTTTGATTTTTTTTTTCTTTTTGTCTTTCTTAAAAGGTTAGGGTTTCTAAAATTGAAACAAACAAAAAAAAAAGCTTTTCCTTTGCAGGATCAGCAGAGCGAGTCAGTGAAGTAAATCCACAGACGCCGGGACATGTGAGGTTTAGCTGTACAGCAAAGAGTCAACATGTACTCTCAATAGATGGTCGTGCAAGAACTGGAAGTGTTGCAGAACAAAGTGCCTTTATTATAGACGGTGAGAAGGTATCTATAATACTTCTATAGCTTTTATCTTCTAAAAGGTATACAAGTCGCTTAACTGAGCGGTTATTATTATATCTCTGTTCGACTTGAGGATAAAAATACTTAAGTGTGAAACTGCCTATTTGACGTTCACCTTGTGAGTGTGGCTGTGATGGATACATCAAGTAAGTGTTGCTGTGACTGACTCCATATTGTGCGTGCCTCCACTTAACCACATTTGAGTGTGACCTCTACTTTTTGCACTTGTGCTCGTACACATCTTACAGAAACGGACACAGCCTGGTTGAAAGATCTTCCTTGAAACTGTCTGGACCCATCCAGATCTAACTGCTGTTCCCAAATATTCCCTGGATTTCACGGATGTGTCTGCGTTGGTTCCACCACCAAATATTCTGTGTGCCTTTATCTTGCATGACAACGGTGTGACTGTCAGACATTAGTCACTGTTTCCAGCTGTGCAAGGCTTCTTCTTGTAACTCGTGTCTTTGGAGACGTCTCAAGGCTGCCATGGAGGCAATTGCAATTTATAACTTCAAAACTACAGAGAGGGACGAACTACCATTCAACAAAGGGGATACTTTGAAGGTAATGATGTCATGTTAATAAATAATTAATTATTTTATACACTGTTTATTTCAAAGTTGTTTTCAACAAAAATTTTACAAAATGTTTAACAAAAATGTTAAAAATGATATCATAAAGCAATATTTATCATCTGATCTGTCATAATAATCTCCTATATACACTATCTATACAATATTTACAGAATCATATCTATACCACATCTATACAATCATATCTACGCAATGAAAATGTAATTTCTATTAGACACTGATGAAGCATTTGCCTACAGAGGCATCAAACACCGTCTTTGTCTCATTACTATTTATTATATTATTATATTTTTGCTATCACTGTGTGGTGGTCTGTACACACAGTACTTTACACTATCAGCATGTGCAAATGTGTTCTGATCCTGTTTGCAACAACACTCTTAGCACCATAACCACTACAGTACACTAAAGTGGTTATGGTGCCTTGCGTGTCCTTGTGCCCCCCTACTGTAAGTGGGTAAACCATTTGATAATGGAACAACGGGTGCCACTCCATGCTTTCTCTACTACTGACAGAGAGCATGATGCCAATAAGCTAACCCTGCACTGCAGGTCTTAGCTCAGGAGAGCTAACGGAAACGTGTAAGTAGGAGCTCTTTGGCTACGGTGGTGGAGGTAGAGAGGGATGCCCAGTGGACAATTTTAAAATATATTGCTTTTGATTAATATAGGGTTATTCTCGCAAGTGATAATTTAAAAGGGAATTTCAAGTCTAAGGCCATAGTATGTAACTGGAAGCACAGTCGAATTTGAAATCGTTTTCTGGACCACTATTTTAACCTTAAATTTGAAATTCACTTTTCTTTCAATTTAATTTCTCACTATAGTGAATAACCCTGTTAGTATTATTAAGAGACATGTTAAAAGGTAAACTGAGATTAAAGGACCACTCTAGGCACCCAGACCACTTCAGCTTAATGAAGTGGTCTGGGTACCAGGTCCCTCTAGGATTAACCCTTTTTTTTTTTATAAACATAGCAGTTTCAGAGAAACTGCTATGTTTATAAATAGGTTAATCCAGCCTCTAGAGCCTCTAGTGGCTGTCTCATTGACAGCCGCTAGAGGCGTTTGCGTGCTTCTCACTGTGAAAATCACAGCGAAAAGACGCCAGCGTCCATAGGAAAGCATTATGGATGCTTTCCTATGAGACTGGCTGAATGCGCGCGCAGCTCCTTTCCGCGCATTCAGCTGAAGAGGAGGATCGGAGGCGGAGAGGAGGAGGAGAGCTCCCCGCCCGGCGCTGGAAAAAAGGTAAGTTTAACCCCTTTCCTCTCCCCAGAGCCCGGCGGGAGGGGGACACTGAGGGTGGGGGCACCCTCAGGGCACTATGGTGCCAGGAAAACGAGTATGTTTTCATGGCACTATAGTGGTCCTTTAAGACAGATTTTCAGAGATGTTTTTAGTCATTGAACCTATGCCAGTTGTTTTCTACAAACCACACTTTTCATATTGAATTTGATTGATGTTTTATCTCTTTGTGGTATTTAATCTATGAAATGATTAGATTGTCTATATTGCTGATAAACATGTAGAGCAGGATGAATGTAGATCAACAATGGATGCCTTCACATTGCTTGGGTTATGGACTCTATCATGATGTACAGTCAACCTTTTGACCCCTGTTCTAGACCAATACTGATCATTTTCCTCTCGGCCCACACCTCACATGCCTCCCCCCCGTCAGTCCCTCCATTGGCTTCCAGTTAGATATAGGGCTCAATTTAAGATTCTGGTTCTTGCTTACAAGTCCCTACAAAATGCTGCTCCAACCTAACTATCCTCCCTAATACACAAGTATATCCCGTTGAGGACCCTGCGCTCTGCCGAAGGCCTACGTTTATCCTCTGTCCTAACACCCACACCTGATGCTCATCTCCAAAACTTCTCCAGTGCTGCACCTTTTCTGTGGAACTCCCTTCCCTTCTTTGTTAGACTTTCACCCAGTCTCCACTACTTCAAAAAATATTTGAAAACACACTTCTTCAGGAAAGCATATCATTTAAACTGTTAGCAGATTTTCATTCCCCCCACCCCATGACTCCTCTCCTGCAACTGTCAAAATAACCTAATACTTTTCTAGCAACCTATTTCATTACCCGTACTTATACCTTTTGTGTCACTCATTGAGCAGGGCCCTCAACCCCTTGGTTCCTGTGCGTCCATTTGTCTGGTTACAACTATTATTATTATTGCCATTTATATAGCGCCAACAGATTCCGTAGCGCTTTACAATATTTTGAGGGGGGGATGTAACAATAAATAGGACAATTACAAGAAAACTTACAGGAACAAAAGGTTGAAGAGGACCCTGCTCAAATGAGCTTACAGACTATAGGAGGTGGGGTATTAGAAACATTAGGACAAGAAATATCAATTATGTGTCTGTTAGTCCACCCATTGTACAGCGCTACGGAATTTGCTGGCGCTATATAAATAATAAAATAACAATAATAATCAACAGAGGCTTTCCAGTTCTTGTAGGACAGCTGGCTGAACATCATGTCAGTTGTGGGTAAAGATCTGGACCTTTCCTGGTCTAGAATCCACACTTATATCCATGTTTTATGGTTGCATTTATAACTATCCTCCTCCTACAGGAATCAGGTAGCTGCCGTACAACAAACCATTTTTTCAAAGATAACCAACTGACAGGCAGGATTTTGGAAGGACCTCTCAGTAGTTCATTGATAGGAATACGATAAGCTACTGAAGCAGAGTTCAGTTAAAATTAACTTCATGTGAATTTCAGTTCTCAGAACACAGTCCTATTTCACATCTACTCAGCTCTTACAGAATCTGAAGGGACACAAGTTAGGTGGTTTCTGAATTTAGTGGTGGAATACTGCGATTTCTAACCCATTAGTTCCCAACCCAGGTCTCAAGGTGCACAAGTGATCAGTATCCCCTTTGGAATGGAAATGGAAAATGACTAAATCAAAAACTGTTGGTGAACCATGAGGCCTGGGTTGGGAACCAGTGAATTTACCCATCGTTTAGCAGTCTGTGCCTTCCATACTTTCTGGGGCAATGCAAGATAATCTTTATGGGTAATTAGGGCTGTGCCCTAAGTTTTTGTGGCAAACCTATTGGTGTTATAAGGACAAATGATAAGGATAAGCGTGTGTTAAATACATATATGTTGCATATTTCATGATTCCCTCACTACTTATTGATGGCTTGAGAAGCTGTTGAATAGGTAATCATGTTAAATTTAGGAGTATTTTTGAAAACCAAATGCCCCATTCTCTTGGTATAGACTCTTTAGACATGCCTAGTCCGGTCTGCTTTATCAGGATTTCTAACTTTGACCTTTGCAATGGCCAATAGATTCTTAGCACCCTAAAAGATAGGCAGGGCGAAGAGGGGTGTGGATTGCCCAGGTGCTTTGTAGAGGGTCAGGGCGCCAACAAGTGAAGGGGCAGAATCAAATTCCAGGGGTAGAGTCTCGTGCTTTACCATCATTGAACTTTACCAGCAGCCACTATTATTCTAATTCGGACTAGGCCAGGAGCTACTTAATTACATTTTAATTTCTGTTAAATAAGAAATTCCAATATCAGATGGGTCATTTATTTAACTTTAAATTGTTAACAGACCAGAGAATGACACATTTTTGATCATAAAACGCCAGGTAAAAATATAAGCTAAATCATCTCCAAATTGTATTAATAATAAAGAAATGACTTAGGAAACTGCACGACCTAATTTTTTGTCAAACTGCTCAAAATGGTTAGACAAGAATGAGAGGGTCTTCATCCAAAGAGCCCTTGCATCAGGTCCCTGTACACAAAAACGTATTCACTATTACTATTTCACTGATACTATATCTCATGTAAGGATATCATATTATGGATTTATTTACTTAAGAGCTGAGAGGTCACTATTAAGGAAAAAAACACCTTTTTATTCATTTTAATCTTTCAGCTGTGTTCAGTAGATAACTCCCTAACTTGGTACAATTGTATGGGAATAGCAAATTAGGAAGCTATCTGCTAAATAGCACCCTAATTTGTTATCCTTTGTTTATCGCCTGAATTTTGTTTCCCTCCTGAAATTTTTCCGAATTTTATTTCATTTTGAATTAATAATTTCAGAATTTTAGACAAAATGAACAAACTTTTCGCATGAGCACATCTCTACTAACCCTTATTTCCCCAACACATAGTTGAACATAAACTCTCACCTCCCTTAATCTAAGCAAATATGTAACACCCATAAATCCTAGCCTAATCTTATAATGTAACTCCCTTAGCACCTAGCTTAAACCTCCTTTCCAAGCCTAACTCTCACAGCACTAGCCTATCCTTAAACTAAAACTATAATTCTGAATTTCAGCTCATAGCTGCACTAAACCTAACAGGGGCAATACAAATATCACTTGATATTTGGTTCTTATATCAGCTATTATTCTTAATACCCTGTCACAATGCATGGCGTTCAGATGACAATATTTTAAAAGGCTGTCTAAAACCGTGCAAAATCTAAAAATAACACTAAAAATATTATAAATATAACTATTTCACACTTTTGTATTGTTTTTTTTACACTTCTGCATAGCATTATAGTGACTTTTTAGCTCTTTGGACATTCTTCTGAAAGCATTTTTCAAGTCCTCATCACATGAGTCCTTATCACCATGTCCTGTGACACACTTGGTATACATCGACGTTATAACTATTGAGTGAGCGTGTTCCCTTACCTGGAGTCATTGGATAATTAATCACGGGAGCACAGGGGTACATCTGTGTACCCTAATCCTTGATTGTACAAATTGCATCCATAAAGAGTGTTCCTGGATCAAGGTATCATAAAAAAGAACACCCCTTTGTAAAGTTTTGGAACCCATAGATAACATTTTTTTGCATATAGCGTTTGGCAAACAAAACATAAACAGCGTTTGTAATATCAATTAAGTTATTTTATTTTCTTTTTTTATTAATTTTGATCTTTCAGCTGTGTTTAGTAAATTGCTCCTTAATTTTGTACCCTTTTGTGGGATTACAATTTTTAGAGTTACCAAATTAGGAAGAATTCAGCAAAATAGCGCCCTAGTTTATTATGCTTTGGAATAATGACACCCGGATTTTGTTTTTCTCCCGATGTTTTTCCGAGTTTCGTTTAATTCCCAATTAATAATTTCTGAAGTTTAAACAAACTGAATAAACCTTTCGCCCATGCGCATCTCTACTAACCCTTATTTCCTCAACACCTAATTTAACTTTAACTCTCATCACCCCTAGTCTAAACCAGATGTTTAACACCATTTAGACAGGACTTTGAAGCACCAGATGTGGTGCTCTTTAAAACCGGTTCTCCGCAGGTATTGGTGGATCACTGAGTGCGTCCATGGAACATAGTTTATAGGCAGAGGAGCAGAGAGATAACAGATGATCTGAATATGTCTGGAATTTTGGGAATAAGAAGGGGCCTTAGAATAGCGTGTCGATCTGCAAGCAACTCCCTTGTGTAATATTAACTGAAATGAAACACTATTGCACAGCAATGCTATATAAATGATGGTAATGATGAAACTGAATATAGTAAAACAGAAAGTATCCGATTGTTAGATATACAATTACACACCTGAGGACATTTATTCTGCTGCTCAGAATACCTTCTCCACAACTCCTCTCCGATGTCAGGTCACCCATATTGTGAATTATATCTTTTTCAGATTCTTAACATGGAAGATGATCAAAACTGGTTTAAGGCAGAAAAATTTGGAGTAGAAGGTTTCATTCCAAAGAACTACATCAAAGTAAAGCCCCATCCGTAAGTACACACCACCTCATACCATCTATTCTGAACAGAATATTCAGTTGTCAGATCTCATCATGCCACTGTTTAGTGACTAACCTTACAGTCTTTGGATTTTGGCTTCAGTACGTGGAGTGCATCAGGATTCCCTTACCATCTGAGAACGTTCCTAACCACAGTGGAAATCACATTAGAGTAATGGCATTAGTTAGAGTGCAGTGGAAATGTCTTTAATATATGCCGGATCACTGAGTGAGTCCATGGAACATAGTTCATAGGCAGAGGGGCAGATAGATAACATGATCTGGATATGTCTGGAATTTGGGGAATAAAAAATCCTTTAGAATAAGGATTAGAGTGCAGTGGGAAAGCCTTTAGAATAAGGATTAGAGTGTGGTGGTAATGTCTTTAGAATAAACATTAGAGTGCAGTGGGAATGTCTTTAGAATAAGGATTAGAGTGCAGTGGGAATGTCTTTAGAATAAGGATTAGAGTGCGGTGGGAATGCCTTTAGAATAAGGATTAGAGTGCAGTAGGAATGCCTTTAGAATTATGGTTAGAGCGCAGTGGGAATGTCTGTAGTATTATGGTTAGAGCGCAGTGGGAATCTCTTTAGTATTATGGTTAGAATTAGAGTGTTGTGGGAATGCCTTGGTATTATGGTTAGAATTAAAGTGTAGTGGGAATGTCTTGGTATTATGGGTAGAATTAGACAGTGGTCAGTGCAGTAAAATACAGAATTATTAGATACAGTAAAAACTTTAGACATAAGAAAGGTGCCACAGGTCGCCATTGAAACACTCTGACAATAAGCCATAGCATTGTGGACTTTTCATTGTGGTATTGTTTGGCCCCTTTAAAAAAAAAAAAAAAAAAAAATTTAATATGTGAATGGTTGGCCAAGAGACATAGGACAGTGGTTATTTAAGGATGGGGACAATAGCTACGTCTTTCGGGTTCCGGTTTATTTCACGTCTTTTCGACATCTTGCCCACGCTTAGTATAATCGGAGTTGAACCTGCTGTCTTGTGTTAGTCTACGCCTGCTGATTGTGAGAGCTGCTAGGGAGTTTTGGGGCTTTTATCCTGTTTCTGAAAGTTGTTCACTGGAGCAGAACACACCGTTTTTTGCAGAGTACTTCCCTGAAATCACGGAAACAGATGGAGGAAGCGCAGGTCAGAAGTAGGATTGATCTGCCTACAGTGAAGAAGTGATGAAAAACCATGATTGAAATATAACTCGTTAAAAAAAAAAAAATCAGATCTCAGTAATGCTATTTATAAACTGCAGAGCACGTTGCATGTGCCCCCTCTTACTCTGCAAAACTAAAGTAGAGTCAGCCATTGCAGAACAAACTACCCCATGCGTTAGCGCACACACATTATATATATATATATATATATATATAGCAAAACACACACACCCAATCACACACAAACACTCACATACCCAATCACACACAAACACTCACATACCCAGCCACATGAACACAGATTGCCTATGCTATCACTAACATGCAAAACACACACACACCCAATCACACAAACACTCACATACCCAGCCACATGAACACAGATTGCCTATGCGATCACATACATGCGCAGTCACACACATTTTCCTATAAATTACATACATATCTGCTAGAGACATATTTGACTTCTAAGGCTATAACGTGCTGGAGGGTTGGGCAAGATGTAATTCCAATTGGGAGGGTTATGTAAAAGGGTTTTTCAGGGGGTCACGTATATCTGGACTAGTCTACGGGGAAAAAAAGCTAAATACCTCACAGTTTGCATGTACTAATAAATATTTAGAAAATCCAGATGGATGTACTTTGCTGAGGTATTGCGAAATTGTTATTACATTGGTTAACATTCTCCAATGCCTGTGATGGAGTGCAGACTGTTATGTAACACTACCAGGAACCTTAAATTACAAGGTGATGGTTTGAATGATGTTATTCAAATAGGGAAGCTTCTGATTAGTAAACTTTAATTTTAAATCTGCCCTCAAACGCACGCAGCTCTGCTGGATGCTAAAATCCCAATCTCACTGATCATACATCTTAAATAGGAGGTGTACTTACACAACAGGTGGACTTACATAAATATAAATAAAAAAAGTGAAAATCACCTAAAACGTGTGTTAACTTTTTTTTCTCATGTGATGCTCCATTTTCTTTTCAAATGTATATTAAAGATTTAGAAATCTAGTTAAGGCAAGGCACAGCCTAGGCACGCAATGCAAATGAGGAAAGATGCATTGTCTCAGTTTTCCTTCTTCCACAAACTATGTTAAGTGGCGGAAATGTTTTGTTGGTTCTGTTAACATGATATGGTCCATATCATTACACAGGTGGTATGAAGGCAGAATCTCCAGACAAGTTGCTGAAGAAAAGTTGCTGAAACGGAAGTTCCTTGGAGCCTTCTTAATCCGAGAAAGTGAGAGTTCACCAGGAGAATTCTCCATTTCAGTCAAGTAAGCCAAATATGGATTATTCACTAAAGTCTAAACTAAAATCCAAATGGCATAATTTAGGCTGAAAAAAAGCCAAGTTGTGACTTAATTGTCTTCGGAGAATGTTTCCAGATCAGCTACTTTTGCTTATATTTTGTCATCTAGATTTGAATTTGCTAATACTGTTAAATTCTTTATTATGACATTCTATTATATGTTCACTATTGTTTCATTTATTTTGTTCTTCCCACTACAAATGCTCCTGAGCTCTTTAATTTAATGGGAAAAAAAAGTTTATTCATTCTTTATTTAATTTTTTTACACTAATTGTAGGGCTTTCTAGATACTAATGCATTTTTTTTTACTTTACAAACTACATTTATTACTAAAAACAAACAAACAAAAAAAACATACAGACTTTGTCTGCTATCTAACTATTTTCCTATCTCAGCTTGTGAGATAAACACAACAAGGCTTTATCTTACTGCATTGTTGGATTTGTGTGTTTTTGTTCATTTGACTATTAAAGGACAATAAGGTCAAGGATGCAACAAACCATCCATAAAGCATTCAGCACATGTAGTTTGGAAGTAGGAAATTGCACTAACATAGCACTTGGCAAGAGATGTTTCCAGGTCAACATGAAAACAACAAAGAGCCAAACACACTTTTCTACAACACTAAACGGCAACACTCAGTGCTTCTTTAAAGGACCACTATAGTGCCAGGAAAACATACTCGTTTTCCTGGCACTATAGTGCCCTAAGGGTGCCCCCAACCTCAGCGACCCCCTCCCGCCGGGCTCTGGGTAGAGGAAGGGGTTAAACACGTACCTTTCTCCAGCGCCGGATGGGGAGCTGTCCTCCTCCTCTCCTTCTTCCTAGCGAAGTCATCGGCTGAATGTGCATGCTTCACAGTGAGAAGCACGCAAGCGTCTCTAGTGGCTGTCAATGAGACAGCTACTAGAGGCTTTAGAGGCTGGATTAACCCTATTATAAACATAGCAGTTTCTCTGAAACCTAGTTTATAAAAAAAAAGGGTTAACCCTAGCTGCACCAGGCACCCAGACCACTTCATTAAGCTGAAGTGGTCTGGGTGCCTATAGTGGGGCTTTAACCTCAGTGGTTTTATATCATAAGTGTTTCTTCAAATCATGCTAGTATTTTATATCCTAAAAAAATTACCTGCACTCTCCTTAATCCCTATGTATATTTAGACAAATGGAGGTCATTTAGTTACTCCAATGGCGACTGGAGGGAATGCCCACCTGCCAACGTCAAGGCAGACCCCCCTAGACTGGCCCTACTCTGACCCTTCAGCCTGCTTCCTTGAGCTTCTGGCAAAAATATCTCTAATGAGACAGAAAGGGGTATTTTTTATATACACCCCTATATACTTTTGAACCCTTAATATATAAAAAAAATACTCCTTTCTGTCTGATTAGAGATATTTTTGCCAGAAGCTGAAGGAAGCAAGGTAAAGGTTCTGAGAAGGACCCGTCTAGGGGGGTCTGCCTTGACGTTGGCAGGCGAGCATTCCCTCCAGTGGCTATTGGAGTAACTAAATGACCTCCATTTGTTTAAATATACATGGGGATTAAGGAGAGAGCGCAGGTAATTTTTTCGTTTGGTTTTTACTGTATGTATTAGCTGATGTGTACTGTAGTCATTGCTGCCGCCCAGGAGTGATGGGAGTGAGCGCAGGACTTTTCTTTTTGTATTTGTATGCCTGGGGTTCACCATCTATCTAGGATCCATAGATTATCCTTTTCTGGTACAGCTTGAACCATCAATGGTGCTTGATTGGTTTCAAAATTGGTGACACCATGGTTTTTCCCAGTGGCTGAGCTTAATTGGTATTTCAGAGATTCTGTGCAAAGGGCAATTGCAAAATATGAATTTAACGATATGGATGTAGCTGATATACATCTATATAAGAACACACTTGCATATGTGAGACTTCCTGAACTCCCCCAAGAGACCTTAATCTTTATATCTAAAATAGTCAAGCTGCTGGCTTTTTTATCTCTTTGAGAAAACCAAAATTGACACTCTTTCCTGTAAACTTGGTATGGTTGTGTAGCTAATGCACGTTTCCAAATTAAAATATGTGCATGTTGTGATGTTTTTGTAACCATAAACACTTTCACATTTCAGCAATGGAAACTTGATTTCCCCACCTGGGTTTAGCTAATGGTAACAGATACGCTTGTGGTGATTTATTAAACATTTAACCTTCGTGGATATTTTCCTCTAAGCGTTATAGTGTGAAGTTCCCTGATTGTCTGTCTGTAGGTTTAGCAAAATAATTTTGGAACTCTATGCAAAATGTAACTTCTCGGGTGAATGGGATTGTTTTGAAGACTATTTCCCGATCCACCATGTCTACCTGAGTACATATCAGCTCTATATGTTGCTGAACAGCACATGAAAAGTGCTGCCCTTACACACCACCCAACATTTCCAATGGAGCAACATGGACACTTTAATTTTAGAGGTGTGAGTCGGGGTGTTGCTGTTTTGAACAAATTTAGGAGACTTACTCACAGCAATTTATACAATTAAATGTAATTTAGAAGAAGAACAATGTATTTTATTCGCACAGACTGATTTCTAAACACATTTATTGTAGTTTAAAGACACATTACTGGGAGTATTATTGCTGTGGAGCTCTGTTATGCACTCAGACACACCAGGTATATGGAACTCCTAGAAAATAGTGACAGGTTATCATATACTAATATAAGTCCTTTAGAGACCATATGACAACAAATTGTAATATCTAGTCCTTGAGAGGTTAAACCTTAACTCCAATAACTTTCTGCCAACTGCTTGTAGATTCTCCGTAGTTGGAATTTAAAAATCAGTTTGAATATCCCAGATTAAATTATCTGTTGTCCAGTTCCTATTTATTATGAACATGATTCACCCACTAGAGGTCAGTGGAGATACGCAACAAATTCTCAGAGGGAAAAAAATCCTTGGAATTAGCCAGGGATTATCAGACATGTTGATTCCGCAGGGATTTTATAGTCCTTGATAACTTGTTGTCCTTTCCCCTCGGAAACGATCTTTGCTCGGCTTAATCTACTGGGAAGGAAATATCACTCATCAGGAAGCAGTCAAACAAAATATAAAAGAAAATCAGTATAGAAAAGAACACGAACGAAGAGCATGGTATAGACTAAACTACCACATTTGTGAAAATGACCAGGCGAATAGCAATATTACCCCAAAATAGCCAAGCCTGGAAAATAGCGGAGTTGCATATTTATTTCCCATTAGAGCTAGTTTGATCTAAAATTTGCACTACACTGATTAATTCCTGACAATACCTAGTCTAGTGAATAATTCTGGTAGTATCAAACGTTTGATATAATATGAGGTAAACAGCAAAACTTGTATTTCTTTGCTATGCTTCTGTATAGAATACATTTTCCTTCACTTCATAAGAGAAATAATGTTTAGTTTTGTCTTTTGTTTAACAAAACAGCTTTTCTGTTCTTAAAGTAGCTGCAAAATTGTTATTCAATAAGCACACATCCCAAGTCTCCAGGAGGTTCCGAGAGACTCCCGCGTTGTAAATGTGGCTCATGGACACCTGCAAATCATATGGAATATCCCAGAAATTGCACACAAATTATGTACGTCAGATTGTGTGCGTGTGTGTGATTTCATGGGTTTTGTATATAATTTTCAGCCCCCCCATTGGGTATTATTCCTGAACAGGGGCCCAATCAGGTGGTGTGACCCTTGAAAAGTGTGACCAGGTCGGCTGGGAGGAAGGGACAGCCTGTCACTTCCTTTCCAGCTTCGCTGCGCGGGAGGAGTGGAGGCAGGAGGCGGCAGCATGGAGGCAGAGGAGAGGCTGGAGTGAGCTGTTGCATTCTCACTCCCATCAGCCCGAGTCAGTACCAGGATCCCAAGCAAGCCACCCTCCAGGACACAAATGATAAGCTAACAGGAGGGTGGCTGCAAATATAGAAAATATAAAATGTCTATGTATGTTAGATTGTGTGTGTGTGTGTGTATCTGTGTGTCAGTGTGTATATCAGTGTGTGTCTGTGTTCAGGTGGATGCATGTGTTAATAGTTTGTGTAACTTGTAATATGTTAAATAAATAGCTGTGTTCTATCATAATAAACTGTCATGTCCTTGTTCATACATGTTTGGTGGCTATGTGTTTGTGAGAGGGAGTGAGGGGGGCGCAATTGTGGGGGGCGCAGTTGCATGTTGGATGTCTGAATAATTCACTTTGGAATTAATATTAATAAGATGAGAATTGCATCACAGTTTGCAAGCCCTAAGTGATAGTCTGTGATATAAAAAAAACCCTGAAATTAGGATTTGTTTAATTAAGTTGATGTTTCCCCAGAATTCCATTGTTTGGAGGCAAACAATTGTTGTTTGAATGCATACAATGATGCTAGAGGCCCACTCTAACAACACAGGAAGCATGCGTTAAACTCTTTTCTTAAAGGACCACTCTAGGCACCCAGACCACTTCAGCTTAATGAAGTGGTCTGGGTGCCAGGTTTAGCTAGGGTTAACCCATTTTTTTTATAAACATAGCAGTTTCAGAGAAACTGCTATGTTTATAAATCAGTTAATCCAGCTTCCAACTCCACTAGCGGCTGTCTCATTGACAGCCGCTAGAGGCGCTTGCGTGCTTCTCACTGTGAAAATCACAGTGAGAAGACGCAAGCGTCCATAGGAAAGCATTGTAAATGCTTTCCTATGAGACCGGCTGAATGCGCGCGCAGCTCTTGCCGTGCGTGCGCATTCAGCCGAAGGGGAGGAGAGGAGGCGGAGAGGAGGAGGAGAGCTCCCCGCCCGGCGCTGGAAAAAAGGTAAGTTTAACCCCTTTCCTTTCCCCAGAGCCTGGCGGGAGAGGGACCCCGAGGGTGGGGGCACCCTCAGGGCACTATAGTGCCAGGAAAACGTGTATGTTTTCCTGGCACTATAGTGGTCCTTTAAAGTTTTACTTGGGAAACAATCAAACTGCTGAATACATTTTAAAATGATCAACACAAGGCAAAGGCAGTGTTTCAAGTGCAATTTGGTATTGAATACTGAGTCAATCACCAGAGGAAAAACAAGGATGCAGTCACTATGGTAACCAAAGAAACCTCCTTCTGCATTGCTACATATGTACAATTTTGTCCCAATACATTCCATTGGTTCTTTATGTTTATCCCCACTGCAGCAATCTACAGGAGCCAGCAAGAGCTGAATCCGCTAGTTTCCTTCCCCAAAATATCATTATTAAATACAATGAAATTATAAAAATAAACAAACATGGCAGCCAGTCAGAAGATCCTTGTGTATCCTACATTTTAGGCCGAACTATCAAACTTAGAAATACTATCTAAAACAGCTATATTTTCAGTTTGGCTATTTTTGGTCTAAAATGTGAAGCTCCGTTTGAATTCACAGCAAGTCACGCCTTAGTGAGTAACCCTACGTGACTCCATTGCTATTAAACCAACCAGTCTATTTCCCGCCCTTTGCTCCATTTGCTCTCATTCACCCTGTCAAGTGTTGATAGACAGAACATAAATTGTCAGTTCAGACAGCGGAGTCCTGAGTGTTTGCGGAACATGTGAAAATTCATTTTATCAAGGTGTCATGTTCCATTAACCCAAATGTGGTAAACATTCAAGACCGCAGTCTCCAACCCTTATCTGCAAGTAGGTCAGCGTTGGCAAAGCTTTAAACAGGCAAATTCGTCCCTGGTTGACATCACAAAGTGCCACTAACTGACCCCCTAGAATTAAGTGGGAATTGCCAATGTAATCATTACTAATCAATGGACATAAAATAAAGAGTGTTTGTTCATTACATTTGGTGTTTTAACATTTAATCTGGGATATATAAATATGAGGCTCGGTGCTGGTTCTTGTTATTTTTCTTTAAGTCCTTTGCACTTTGAAACAAACTCGGCTTGTTTATTTAGTAATCAGATTTTAGATTGTAAGCCTATGAGCAATGCTCTCAAAATGTAATGCATATGTCTTTAAAGGACCACTATAGGCACCCAGACCACTTCAGCTTAATGAAGTGGTCTGGGTGCCAGGTCCATCTAGGGTTAATCAGAGAAACTGCTATGTTTACATTAGGGTTAATCCAGCCTCTAGTGGCTGTCTCATTGACAGCCGCTAGGGGCACTTCCGCGCTTCTCACTGTGATTTTCACAGTGAGAAGACGCTTGCATCCATAGGAAAGCATTGTGAATGCTCTTGCCACGCATGCGCATTCAGCCGATGACATCGGAAGGAGGAAGAGAGTCCCCAGCGCCTAGGGAGGCCGGCGCTGGAGAAAGGTAAGCATTTAACCCCTTCCTCGCCTTTCAGCCCGGCGGGAGTGGGACCCTGAGGGTGGGGGGGAGGGGGACCTATTAAAGTTTGTTTTCCTGGCACTATAGTGGTCCTTTAAGGCTGTCAGATAAAATATTGTAATATTGCAGACATAAAATGGCAGTCCAAGCATCACAAACACTAAAGAACATATTGGCGGTTATCACAGTGATTATGGTGCTGGGAGGGTATGGATGCAGACGTTTTTTCGTCAAACCTTTTTCAAGAGGTGTGGCGAAAAAAACAAACCTGTGAATACCCAACATCCAAAGTCTGGCACCTGTCATTGGGCAAACTGCCACTAAATATATACCAACTACGGAGACCGTGTCAACTTGTTGGCACCAAAATAATTAATTTGAGCTGTCAGACTCTCAGGATAAATTTGACAGTGTGTCCATTAAAATTGTTTTGAGGTGTGCTGACTATTGGTGCTTTTGAGGCATTTTGCCCTCCTGTTGAAGGAGCAAGCATTGGGTGTATTAGAAGCATGCTAAGTTGGTCCTTCATGAGTGAATATGGGAGACGCTCACATACAAGGATACCCGACAAGCATGATGCATTTTGTACCCTTATAATACTATTAGTTATTAAAGGATTTCATTAATATCTTCAACACTAGCATAGCTTACAGAGCAGGCTTTGATTTGAAAGCAGTCATTATTTTAATATTACTGAAGAAGGTACTTCCAAGATTGCATTTCCATAGTTCAGGGATATTCCGACACTTGAGAATTTACACGTAGGTTCTCAAAATTAGTCTTGTGTGTCGCCGAACCTTTAATGGTTTACAGTCCCCTGCATTGTGCTATTTGCATAGCGGGTAGATTTTATTGTCAGGTGGATTTTCGGGTCTCGTGTCATCTGTCTCAGTTTATAGTAAAATGTTTAAAATCATAGGTGGCAGACAGATGATGGGAAATGGGCAGAATGATGTTTTAGAACTGAAAGGGGAAGAGAGAGTAACGGGGTAGAGCATCAGTGGAAAATATAAGCATTGGGGGAAAGCCGTATGTGCATGCTTCCTTGGTTCCTCAGTGTTATTATTATTATTATTATTATTGCCATTTATATAGCGCCAGCAGATTCCGTAGCGCTTTACAATATTATGAGAGGGGGATTTAACTATAAATAGGACAATTACAAACGTAATGGAAAATGGTTCTACACCCAGAGCCTCCTTGACCATAACAACTACAGAAATTGGCTTTGTTTAGGGTGCTTTAATTGTCCCTTCAGAGGGGACCTGTCACATTTATACTATTGAATAAAACATTGAAAATAATCTATACCTTATGTTTCTTTTTATGGGAATCATAAAAAGCAGAAAACATCATTTGTAATCCGGTTCAGACAAGACAAAGCTAGGGGCAAACATTGTAAACGAAGACGAACAATAGAAACCGTGTTTCATGTCTCCTCTGCTCTCTATGTTTTCTCTGTCCTGACTGACAGGTGTAAAGACAGAGAGCTAAGATAGAGGATTAACATAATATTAAACATCCTGAGAAGTTACAGTTTCTGTATAGATTGCACTGTTCCTGTATGCCATGTGTGTTATGTGTCACGTATTCATCCGCTTACAAAAATGTGGTTAATGGCATTTACTGTCCACACAGGAAAAGTTGTGCCGAGCAACAACCAACTCCACAGAAGAGTTAATGCTGAGCAGCAATTATGCAAATGGGATCCTGGTAACTGCCTTTGGGGTCAAAGGCTGGTTACAGCCTATCAGATCTAGAGAAGGGGTATTTAGGCCCAGTTCTCATCCTGCTCAGTGCCCTGTCGTGGTTTCCCTTGTGGTTGTCCGAGAGCGCGTTATTGATTCTGGTTATTCTGGTTATTTGACTTTGGCATTGTTTTTGACTTCCCTGTTTTCTGGCATCCCTGACTCCTGGCTTTTCCTTATCGTTGTGTCTCTTTCTGTTTCTCTTGACCTCGGCTATTCCTGACTATTCTTTGGTACGTTAGTCCGGCCATTCTAAGGTCCGGCATACGTTACCGATCAGTCCTCTGTGTTACACAGTTCTACGTGCTGGATCATTCTGTAATCCTGACATTGTTAGAATTAAATGTTTGACTTGTTTATCTATTACACTGCGTGGTGAAACAGGCAGGTGCTATATAAACAATGTTAATTGTAATTCAAGCTTCCAAGCATCATAACCACTAGACCCATCGGGCACCGATACCCAATGGGGCAAACTGTTTTCCAACCTACCATGAAAACCTTCCACTTTCAGAGCCTCCTTTAAAACCAGTTGACGCACTGCCAGCTCCTGCGTTCAGAAGCCAGGTGCTGATCCTGCTAGTCATTAATTGGCTAAGAGTGTCAGCCCACCACTCTCAGCCAATATATGACCCTCCATTAGCCGGTCAAAACTCTCGTTGGAGGCTGGCGGATGTCACTGTAGGAGGAGTTACACCTCTGGCAGCGATATAAAATATCTCTGTACGTACAGCATTTTAAACTGAAGCACTGCACATACAGACTCCAAGCACCATCACCACCTCAAACCACCAAAGTGGCCATGGAGCTCGGAGTGAACTTTAAATGTATCTAGCACAGTGGAATTCAGAAAATGACTGCGTAATTCTTGTGAATTAAAATGTTGTCCACAGTTCCCCTTCCAATGGGGAAATGGTGTTATAACAAATAAAAATACAACCTCATATACAGTGTATTTTGGGAACTTGACTATTTGGCCCAAGTTATCTATTTATCACAGCATCTCCCAGCTTAGTGATAAATATTATAACACAAACAAGTGTGATCTGATTAGAAATGGTACATATCTTGCAAAGAAGTATTTCATATTTTTTTACAGACACCTGTAAGTCTTCTATCATGAATTCTCCCAAACTTATTTGCTCCTGCAACAAAGGGGTTAACTATATCACAATTCAGGTTCTCAGAAAGTTATTCATGTACACACGTGACTGTCTATAGTACTCACTATGCTATACACTACAAAGAGATACAGATCATATTTGCCTCTAAACAAAATTTATTTGAGACCACCCCGAGGGCTTTCCCACGCTCTGGCCTCCACCGAGAGAGAAAAACTGGTTAATTGAGGAAAGGTGAACTAATCAGAATATTGGGAATGCAGTGTGTAGGTAGCTACCTCCAGGAAAGTCTCACAATGAGATTTTATTCCAAAAAAACCTAATTTTATATATTAAGTAATCACTGTGACAGATTGCTCAAACTGCTCTAAAACACCAAAGGGTTAAACTTGTAGACCAGCAGGGCGTATTGTATTGTTTTTGTGTGCGATAGAAACCTGCGTGATTTGCATTTTTTTTTTCACTTTATTGCACACTTTTTTTTTCTCTCCCCCTCTGAAACCACAAACTGAAAGTTGCTTTACAGCTGCTGCAAATGGGACCTCCACCTCCGCTTTCCTAATTCTGTATAGTTACTGTCTCACACTATCAAAAGGGGCTAGCAGGAGTGTCCCAGCTGTTCTTTAACTACAATTTTTATCATTCTCAATCAGTCAAAATACTAAACATGAATTTGTTGTTGTAACAATTATTTATGAAAAACAGCTACTTAATAAAAAAACAAACACAGCTTTTTAATAAAATAACAAAAAATTTAAAATAAAAACAGCTATTTGTTTCAGTGGTTACCCGAGATTTTATTTATTTTATTTACCAGCCCTCTATATTTAGAAACATTCTATTTTTTGAGGTTTGACAGGTGAAATTGAATGTAGAAATTCACACTTCTGTACTGGAACTGGGCTCCCCTTCAGTCGGTATCATAACTGTGGCCATTTGCTACCACATGACATAGTTAGCGGAATACGGGGAATATAAACAATGTGTCTGTTGCTCAGCTCATTGCATTCTATGCCGTGGCCATGCCTGGACTGAACTGCATTGTGTTGTCACTTGCTGAATATTTATACAACGTATAGGTAAATTTCAATGTTATATGCAATGGTGTCATTTCAAGGGAAATGACAGTTTGATGTAATAATTATTTATGGGGTGAAAAATAACAATAATAATAATGGCATTCTTTCCTTAATCATTCCATAGCGAACAGGACACTGTAGGCATTGTAACTGTTTCATTTCACCATAGTTGTTCTAGTCTCTGTAGTCCACTGGTGCCATCCATCCATTCAGCATTGAACTGTTTTTACTGTTTTAATGCGAAACAACCCAGCGGCCCATCCACTCTGTGCTGCTTGGGCTAATGAAGCAACATTTGCCTGACCAACATTGTGTGGCTGTGATTGACTGAGAGTGTCAGCTGACCACTTGCAGCCTATCACAGTGCCCATAGCTGGTATGAATCGGTACAACTAGAAGGAAGTGTGTAATCTCAGCCTTGGTCACACCTCCAGTAGGGGGCCGGGCTTATTTAGTATAAAACGACTTTAACACTAAAGAAACAGTGCCAGGAGACTCTAGGAATTATAACCACTTCAATTAGATATTGTCATAGTGCTTAGAGTGTCCCTTTAATTATTATTTTTTATCTTTTTATAAAAGACCCTATCCGTGTTAGACTGGCATACCCATAAACTGACTCAGATAAAACCTTGCTAAGCACTGTGAATCTTATATTGTTATACTTATTATTGCTATACTTATATTGTTATACTTATTATTGCTATACTTATATTGTTATACTTTTATTAGGAAGAAGTTTAAACGAGAGAGCTCACATTAACATTTTTCTCAGTTTCAAAAATGTGCCGGCTTACATATCATAAATTAAACATTTTAAAACAAGTGCACACGAGCAGCAAATAAAATGTAATATTTGCAATTTAATAATAGATATCACTTTAAACCAGTAGTAATAATATGGTGCCAGTACGTATTATTTTTCTATTGTTGGCTCTGATGCAAAAGAGATTTGTTCTTTGTTCTGTTTTCCCTGCGGAATGACACTGGAACAGTGCTCGTTAACAGCTGTTGAAGGTAGTTATGTCTGTCTCCTTGTAATTTATATTCAAAGTTAAATAGGTTTTAACATTTGCTTACACGGTAGAAGCAAAATTAAAATAGAAATGCAGCTTCATAGGTGTTGAAGGAATCTGTCATTGTATATTGACTTGTAGATTTATGTTTTATAACGATTGGTAGATACATACTAATTTATACTGATTGGTACATACCACGTTATACTTATTGGTAGATACATACTAATTTATACTGATTGGTAGATACATACATACCACGTTATACTGATTGGCAGATACATACCACGTTATATTGATTGGTAGATACATACCACGTTATACTGATTGGTAGATACATACCACATTATACTTATTGGTAGATGCATACCACGTTATATTGATTGGTAGATACATACCACGTTATACTGATGGGTAGATACATACCACGTTATACTGATTGGCAGATACATACCACGTTATACTGATTGGCAGATACATACCACGTTATACTGATTAGTAGATACATACCACGTTATACTGATTGGTAGATACATACATACCACGTTATACTGATTGGTAGATACATACCACGTTATACTGATTGGTAGATACATACCACGTTATACTGATTGGTAGATACATACCACGTTATACTGATTGGTAGATACATACCACGTTATACTGATTGGTACATACATACCACGTTATACTGATTGGTAGATACATACCACGTTATACTGATTGGTAGATACATACCACGTTATACTGATTGGTAGATACATACCACGTTATACTGATTGGCAGATACATACCACGTTATACTGATTAGTAGCTACATACCACGTTATACTGATTAGTAGATACATACCACGTTATACTGATTGGTAGATACATACCACGTTATACTGATTGGTAGATACATACCACGTTATACTGATTGGTAGATACATGCCATGTTATACTGATTAGTAGCTACATACCACATTATACTTATTGGTAGATACATACCACGTTATACTGATTGGTAGATGCATACCACGTTATACTGATTGGTAGATGCATACCATGTTATACTGATTGGTAGATACATACCGTGTTATGCTGATTGTTAGATGCATACCGTATTATGCTGATTGTTAGATGCATACCGTGTAATACTGATTAATAGATGCATACCTTGTTATACTGATTGGTAGATGCATACCTTGTTATACTGATTGATAGATGCATGCCATGTTATACTGATTGGTAGATGCATGCCGTGTTATACTGATTGGTAGATACATACCGTGTTATACTGATTGATAGATATATGTAGATTTATAATGTTTGGTAGATACATGTTTACTTATACTGAGAGTTAGAAACATACACTGTTATATTGACTCTCCGTATATACGTGGCATTGTATATTGACTGATAGAGCCAGATTTTAAGTTTTACAATTATTTCTTGTGAAGAATCAAAGATTTTTAAAAAAGGTTCTGTTGAGTCTTTACATTTTTCTTTCAAAGTCATGCAAATTTTAAAAAGTATTTATTAAATTTATCAAATATATAGAACTAGGGACCTGTTTGAGATGGCTGTTAAGAAAAAAAAAAAAGAGAGGTTGCTTCCTGGGTCAGTGCTGCACAGTGTGACTGATATTCAGTATCTCCACCCTCTGCGAGAGAATTTATCAGCCCCCTAGTAGGTGTCTAAAGATATATTCATTTATTTGTGCTTATTTCTGTTTGGATTATTATGCAATCATACTAATGCCAGCTTTTTAATTTCAGCTTTGGGTCAAAATACATAGTTACATAGCTGAAAAGAGACTTGCATCCATCAAGTTCAGCCTCCCTCACATTTGTTTTTTGTTGTTGATCCAAAGGAAGGCAAAAAAAACAGTTTGAAGCACAAGTTTGCAACAAGCTAGGAAAAAAAAATCCTTTTTGACCCCAGAATGGCAGTCAGATTAATCCTTGGATCAAGCAGTTATTACCCTACATTGAAGACTATATCCTTAAATATTCAGTTTTTGCAAGTATGCATCTAGTAGCTGTTTGAACATCTGTATGGACTCTGATAAAACCACTTCTTCAGGCAGAGAATTCCACATCCTTATTGTTCTTACAGTAAAAAAAACCTTTCATTTGCCTTAGACAAAATCTTCTTTCTTCCAGTCTAAACGCATGACCTCGTGTCCTATGTAAAGTCCGGTTTGTGACTAGATTTCCACACAATGGTTTGTATTGGCCCCGAATATATTTTAATTGCATCAATTTGTTTAACCTCTTAGTGACCAGACCGTTTTTCAATTTCATCCCAATTTGCAATCAATTAAATTACTTAATTATGTAGAAATATTACATAAATATGCACATAAAATTTAAATATATATACATATTTATATATTTGAAGTCTACGTGTATGTTTAAGAAATTAATTATGTATATGGACATATGTATATTTTGTATTATTTTTATATATATATATATATATAAATATATATATAGATAGATAGATATATAACTTCATTATAAGTGTATTTGGATCTAAATATATATATATATAATCAAAATACAGTTAGAATAAAATTACATATATAATCTTTTTATAAAATTAGTATTTTTACATTTTATTTATTTTAAAATAATTATTTATTTTTTATAAAATATATATATATATATATATAGTTATTATATAATATGTATATACGTGTGTAATTTTACTCTAAGTGTATTTCTATATTATATGAATATATTAATAAAAAATACACTCAATATGACATTATATATAGTATGTGTGTGTGTGTGTGTGTATATTTATATATATATATATATATATATATATACACATACTCGGAATTTATCTAATATGTAATGGGATGTAGAAGGAGAAGCAAAGTTGGTTGAGGTGTGCTGAAACCAACATACGAGTAGGCCTGTAAAAGAGGGCCCACAAAGGTTAATTGTTAATATAGATGGGTGTAGGTGGGTGGGGACAAACAGCATGCACGACAAAGGTAAGTAGGGGGGGTAGGATTTATATAGGATATAGGATCATAACTCCTCCCACAAATTCAGGCCAAATGGCCTTCCAATTTGTGCTTGGAATTTATCTAATATGTAATGGGATGTAGAAGGAGAAGCAAAGTTGGTTGAGGTGTGCCGAAACCAACGTACGAGTAGACCTGTAAAAGAGGGCAAAAGAGGATTCAAAGAACTTTATGCAAGTTTATACAGCGTGGGTACTGAAAGCTTGTGAGGAGCTTTTACTCTGATTGAGGTATATATGTAACTGCGCTGAGGATTGCCCGTGGCCCCGACATTTAGTGATGTAGACTGGGGTGTAAGAGCTTGAAGCTGCTGATGCAGCGCTTTGTGACAGAGAGGCCAGTGAAGGAAGCCATGATGTAGCTCCACCATAATGGAAGGTTTAGACGTTAAGTAGTGGATTAGGACTGATAGTGTGTGGTTGACCTTGGAGATGTAACGCGGAGTGACAGCATAGGAGGTTTAAGTAAGATGCTTGATTTGTAGGTTTGGAGAAAGAGGCAAAAAATAACCATATTTAACTGCAAAAGTCTTGATTCAAGCAAACTCTAATTGTGACATGTACAATATACAAGGCCCTGGCGTGAGTGATAGAGTAGTCGTGAAATTGCGTGAAGCGAGCGCACCTGTACGTGGTGTAATTGTGTGCTAAATCCAAGATTAGCTCATGGAATGGTGGTATCCCGGATGACATGTAGTGGATCATAGGGAGTGCCTGAAAGAAGACCTTAAAATGAGAGCATGCAAGAGTGTCAGCGGCTGTGTAGTGGACACCAGAAATGTAAATTTAGACCAGAAAGAGCTGAGGGGTTGCAGTCTGCCAAATCAGCCGGCGAATCAGCCACAGTGGCAGTGAGTATGACCGCCCTTGCTAATGAAATCGCAGGCTGCGGAGTCGTCAGAGCAGCATTCCACTGCCTTGCCGGTCCAAAGATGACCCAGAGTGAGGGAGGCCACCACGAAAGGGTAGATCTCCAACAAAGTAGAGGTCTCTCCAAAGGCCCGCAAGGCATCCGACTCAGTGGGCCAGGCGTCCCTAACGAGTGGTTGCCGAAAAAAGGCTGCGAACCCTGTGTGTGCTGCTGCATCTGTGTGAATTGAAAGTGAGTGTTTTGAAAGTGGGGATATCCCAATCCATGCGGCCAAGAGATCCCAATCCATGCGGCCAAAAAACTACTCCAATTGTGTAAAACTGCCATGGCTGGATCGCCTGAATGGTTGGGCAGGGGTTGGTACCTCGTGGAGCAAATTTAAGTAGCCCAGGGACAAGAGACAAACCCTGCGGAATGATACACACAACAAAGTTGAGGGGCCTAAACCAGACCTGAAGCCCCCTCCTATTGTGCGCAACATCCGCAGAAGCAGGACAAATCCATTCCTAATACGGAACAGAACGTCTGGGAGGCTGGCTTGGAAAGTAGTGGAGTCCAATATTATGCCTCAGAAAGCAAGCCTGGAAGAGGGACCGACTGAAAAGGGGGAGGGGCGGGGGGGAGGGCTGTGGTGGTGTGAATACTGTTAGGTGTTTGTGAACCCGTAAAATCAACAAAAATTTATCCAGAACGTGGATGACAGATGGACACCAGAATATATTTAGGAGCGGCCAGCAAAGGGTTTCTGCAGAGGACGGTGCGAAGAGGTCTGTGATCAAACGTATTTGGGTACTGTGAATGGCTACCCCGATGGGAGTAGTACACCAAGATGAGAAAACGTGAAGACCGGAAAGGGCTGATCGTGAAACCAGCATATGATTGCTGTGGACAGAAGGTGGTCCACCTTAAATGGGTCAATAGATGTAGATAATAGGTTAGGGCATACGAGTGTACCCGTGGGGTTGGCGCCAAGGCCCGTGTGAGACCTCTGTGAGAAACCCAGCATCAGCATCTACCATATGCCCCGCTGGGTGTAAATGCAGATAGTATACCAGGATCTCAATGTTGACCTAGTTAGGCGTATCTTGGGTGACAGACAGGCTGTATATGTGGACTAGGTGTGAGTTCTGGAGCAGATGAAGCGGATGTGTGATACCCTGTATGTAGTGAAAATAGCATACCCCAGCATTAAAGTCATAGCTCGCCCGCGCTTTGCCCAGAAATTAATGGTCAGCGCCGCTTGTCCTTCTGCCCGCCTCCCAGTGTAGTGTGTGGGATGAAGGAGTGGTAAGAGAGACTAAACAGTTAAATTTGTGACAGACCCAAGAAGCCTGGATATGTTAAAAGCATAGTGATAGGTACCGGGTTCTCGGGTGTGTGCCGAGAGAGGGAAAAGACATGTGTGGGCTTAACGAGGTCATGCGTAATATTAGGAATGTAGTATGAAAGGTTGTATTCTTTATCCCTCGTATATTAGAAATTAGATGTATGTAATTGCCCAAATGAGGGGCCAGAATTGCCATAGTGCCCGTGGTGGGCCATGTGTAAACATATGGAGTGAAGGCTTGGTGAGGGCCATGTGTAGAGGTATTGTAGTGGAAGGCAGAGTATTTCGTCCAACAGTAGACCGATTATTGGGATGGATTCTTGTGACATTCTGAAAAGAAATAATGATTTGGATAAGTAAGGTGTTGTAGAGGTGGAGATGAGACCTCCGGAGAACTGACCTGCTAGCTAGTGCCGAGGCGAAGAATTAACCTAGGACCAAGTGACAGGTGAGGCCCTGCTATTGCCAAGTGGTGGTGAGAGGCTCTACCTATGATTTGGGCCGAGGGGGTTTTGTGGCCACCAGAACGAGGTGGCAGGATGTTGGCCTCTCATGACAGTAAGAGATTCAAAACGTGTGGCCGTGACTTGGGAAGCCCTAACTGTAGCCCAAAGAAGAGCGAGGTGGCTAGCTATGATTTGGTCGTGGGGCTGAACCTCCGTGTATGAGGTGGAGGTGTAGACCTTGCGGACCGCAGTATTATTTGGGAAAGCTAGGGCCAGCGCCTAACCCTGAAAGCCAGTTCTCTAACCTGACAGGTCTTGTCTCTAGAAAGGAAGTATGTAGCGTATGTAGATACTGACCTCGAATGTTTGTCCTGTATATTTAGATAATGCTCAGGGCGACTTCAATATATATGTATAAATATATACTGCGAAGAACAGGTACAGTCCAGGAACCTAGGGGTAAAAGGATGCTAGCAGGCCTGAGGCGTGCCACTGGTATGCCAAGTGTAAAAATGTAGAACGTATGAAAAGGAGTGTAACCGCGAAACTGTAGCGTAAGAACCAGTGTAAGCTGAGGGACCTGCACATTGGTCTAAATATTTTGAGACAAGCCCCTGGATTCCCACAAATGTGCATTACTTGTGAAAGATACAAAGGCAAAGTGAGGCCTTAGAAGGAACGTAATTGTAGTGAGGAAGATTAATGATACCTGATACTGAAACATCGGGGACCAGGTAGCCTGTTGGTTTGTTGATGGCGTAGTGAATCTGTGACATGGTGCAGTTCTAAGTAATGATATGTAGAAATGATAAACAAATTTAACACATTAATATAATAGTAACATGGAGGGTGAGGCATCTTTAGACCTGGTATGTTTGAAGTTAGAACCCACTGTGGGAGGTGGGAGGGGATAATAAAAAAGGCTGTGGAGGCTGAATGAGGCCTCGGGAGAAACGTAAAAATGTTAACCTTTTTTTCTACCTGATACCGTGAGACGGGATACTGGAACCACCTCCTGGAGTTTTCTTGAAGAAGAGTAGTAGAACCTAAAACACGTTTATTATTTAAAAATAAGGAATCCGAGTATAGTGTTTTTAATATAAATAGAGATTTTAGAAATAAGAGCTAATGAACAAATTGAGCGTGGAGCTGGATAAATTTAAGCGGTTTGATGGGCTTGACCTATTGACATCAAAAAAGAGTAAGGGGGCCAACTGTGTCTTTAAGAGAATGCCCCTGGGAATTTATGCATAATTAAATGTGACTATGGGTGATGAATAGTGACACTCTGATTTAAGGAAAATGTAGGGAGAACTGTGTACATATGTTTATAAAAGGAACAAATTTGAGGAACATACTTAAAATTATACAAATAACTGCATAAAATCTCATGCGTACGGTTAATGAAAGTGCAAGAGGGATATAACAGGACCGCATGTGATAAATTAGGAAAAACTAAAAGCTAGTAAAACAGCCGTTCGTACGTGTTTCGGCTAATAAACGTATGTAAGAAACAGGCGAACGTAGGTGAGTATAAGTGGTCGGTATTTAATACTAACGAAAGAAAAATGAACGAGTGTGTACTCTGTGGTCAACTAATAGCCGCACGAACGCAGAAGTACACGAACAGCAGAATTATACGAACGGGTAAGTAATATAGGGAGACTATTCTGGGTTTTTAGGCCCGAATGTGGGAAATAGCAGTACGCTATTTCCCACGTTGATGCTTACGTGTGCGTGCCGGTCCCGTGACCGGAAGCAAGAAAGCCAGGTAAGGAATACAGCGGGGCAGCCGGTGGACAAGCGCAGATGTCGGCTGCAGGAGTTGCTGAAGACAGAGTGTTTGTTCAAGGCAGGACTGGCCGGAACAACGACCGGAAGTGCAAGTAACTATGGAGACAAACAGCTTGCACGAGAAAGGTAAGTGGGGGGGTAGGGTTGATATAGGATCATAACTCCTCCCACAAATTCAGGCCAAATGGCCTTACAACATATAATATTTTTTTCCTTTATTAAACATTTTTTATTTTACTTTTTTACCAGCAGGCAGCACTATGGACGCCTATTGAGGTCATGTGACCGCTCTTTCAGAGTGATCACATGGCCCACGGGGTCCTAATTTGCCGTGTGGGGACTGTCTGGGCTGTCAGACAGTCCCCCCAGACAGAGAGGAACACAGATCCCCCGGTGGGGGAACGATGGCGATCAGGTAAGTACTAAGAAAACCACGGACGTATTAGGTAAGGGTTTAATAAACAGGGTTATTTACTAAAGTGAGAATTGGAAAATAATGTAAAATTTAAGGCCAGAATAGCCAAACTGACAGCATAGCTGATTTATCTAACTTTTCCAGTTTGGCTATTTGTACCTTAAAGGGAACCTGTTGAAAAATAATGTTCTTACCTGAAATTGCTCCCATACATTGAATACACCATATAACACAAAGATACATGTATTTAATGTTCAATATTCACCTTTCCTCCGTTACAGTGGTGTTTTGTGGGTGTTACTTTACGTGTAACACCCACCTCCGGGCTGTCCTTCTCTCCTCCTCCGCTCCGCCTGCATTCTTCTTTGATTTGCCCTGCTTGCCCCAGTGACGTTGGCACACAGGATTCGTTGCCAATGTGCCGGCCGGCATTGAAACGCAGTGAAGTCCCTTTTAAATTTAAAGTTAACTTTGAATTCTGGAAAAAGTGTTTAATACTCAAAGTATAATTTTGTTTCTAGTGCCAATTTCTTTAGCTATATACCAATGTTAGGTTAAAGGGACACTAAAGCCATCAAAACCACTACAGCTTAATGTAGTGGTTCTGGTGTCTATAGCCTGTCCCTGCAGGCTTTTTAATGTAAACACTGCCTTTTCAGAGAAATTTATTGAATGAATCTCTATGAGGAAAGGTTGAATGCAACTTTTTACCGAGCATGCATAATACCCTGCCAATGCTTTCGTAAGGAAAAGGAGTGTGGGTATGGCTAACTGCAACAAGAGTGGTGTGGTCTACTTTTCTCATGGTAGGCAAGTCTGGCCTAAACAGTGCTTTCACGCTTACATTGTTAGGATTACATGTTTGTATTCTTGATACGATAGTGTTCTTTTAAGCCATGGGTGCCTAAAAGGTAGATCCCAAGATGTTTTAAAAACTAGAACTTTCATGATTCCTTATCATTCTAAAGACACACAAAGAATCATGGGAGTTATAGTTCTACAACATCTGGAGATCTGGGGTTCTACCTTTCGAGCAACCCTGCTTTAAGCAGTATTTTCAGATTATCTTTGGAGATGGGGAATTTTAAACCTTCAGCAGTTACTATTTGAAAGATATGGTATACAGCTTAACAAATTGACCTCTGGTACATAGAAATAAGGAGTAGATAAGGGGTTTTAAGATAATTCTGTGCAGACATATAGAACAGGAGTAGTTAACATGAATTGCTTTACTACAGCTGTAAAGGAGACTGGCAATATACATGTGCAGTATTTTTTTAGATAATGGGATTACCAGTATCTTTAAACAATATGCCTGTGGGGTTTATTTACTAAACAACTGAATTGCATGTAATATATTCAAACTGACATTAAGAACTATTTTAGAATTTTTAGGAGCCGCTAAGTTTTTATTTTTAATTTTTTTTAAATTTTTTTTATTAATTCAAGTTTATTACAGAAAAGGAAGTTATAACCACATGATGCAGTACATTTGCCACATAAGTTGAAATAAATATGGAGACACAGTTATGTGTAGAGATGGATTGAGATAAACCACTTGAATGAACACTTCAAGCACCATAACCACAACAGCACGCTGTAGCCAGAAACATGGCTGTAAGTTATCATGCCACCACACTATGGGTGGATTCACTAAATGTTTCATAACGATTGAACCTTTAGAAATAAAAGATTGCCCTTAATCTGATTATAAAAGACAATAGACAATAGACAGCAAAATCTCCTATAGAGAATTTTTATTTTTTACGTGACTTCCTGACCCACTCATTCTGCTGAAAATGTAATATAGAATGAGACCAAATCTTGTTTACAGACAAATTACTGTGAACGTTATTGCAGTAAATCTGTTACATACAGGCGGAAACAAATTCAGTGCTCTGAAAATATTCTGATAAAAACTGCAGGGACTGTCCCTACTGTATAGGGACACTTGGGAAGTGTTGTTATGGACAATTAGCTGTTCATAAACGCAATCATGAGGTTTGTGATTTTGTTTTTTGAAGGCAGGTATTTTTTAACAAGTGCTTTACAGCACACTTTCCCCATATTCTATCCATTCCTCATGTCACAGTCCATGCTTATTTATATTAATAATTTTGAGTGATCTGGCTAAAACATTTTTGATAGAATAATTGTAATTGTTTATTGACCTCCAGTTAGCGGTAAAGCCAGATTAGCTGGTTGCACCCTGAGGTATATTCACTAAACCGAGAATAACAAAATAAATAGCGTATCCTGTGTCCAATTTAAGTATACAAAAAAATATACATACATAAATCTTCAGATGAGCTCTAAGATGGCTCAATAAAATGTGAGTGGATTTTATACGGAGCCACAAACTTAATTCCTGTTTATATCAAACTGTATTGCACTATCATTTTGTTTTTCTTGTTGTTCTGAGGTCTACCCTCTGAAGATTTATGTACGTCTATTGTTGTATACGCTATTTCTTTTGTTTGTTCATTCTCGAGGTCTGGTAATCCTTGTACTGTGTACTGCAGCCTGCACTGGTTATTTATTCACTAAGCTACAGTGAGCGCCTATTATTCCTGTTGTACATACTAAACAAAGAATAGTGAAAAGAAAATCAAATTTCAAGGTACAGCCGTGACTATAAATTGAAGAATTTTATCAATTCAAATCTATTTCCAATTCACTACACGTTGGTAAACCACAAAATGTTACTATGTAATCTGCAAATGTATAGAACCTATTGTTACACTCACGTAATGTAACAGAACATATTACATTACATCAACTACAAAAGCCAGTTTGCCAAAATAATCTTCCACTAAATCGTTGGAATTTACACTATGACTGTTAAGCAGACCTTAAGGTAAATCACTTTTTCCCGTTTGGCTCTTTTTGAAGTCGAGTTTTATCATGTTGGACCCTAACTGGTCTGAACATGAACTGAACGTCATTGGCAGAGATGCAGTGTGCGCGAGGAGCAAAGACAAAACACAGACCAGATGAAAGCAAACATTGTGCAGCCGATAAAAGATTGGTGGGGCTTATTTACTCAATCAGGAATGTTGAACAATTGTCAAGAAAATAATAGATTTTAGGCCAAGGTATTTGAACCGAAGAAAATAGCAGACAGGGTTGTTCACTAAATTGTGTATTGTCAGGAATTCAAAGTGACTTACAAAATCAAGGTCAAAGTGGCCGAACTGGAAAAGTTCTCTAAGTCAGTTATGCTTTCAATTTGACGACTCTGGCCTAAAACAGAAATTTCATTTTGAATTCTTACTTCAGTAAATAAACCCCAACTTAGTGTGAGATTATTCTCCTTATGGCTTTTATGATCTAACATTTTCCAGTTTTCAACAAAAACGCAGTTTAGTGAATTAACCCCAATTGTGTTTCCGGCCAGTAAGCCCACACCTGGCAAGACATTACGACAGGCTAGAAAAATAAACCTGTAAATGATGTCACTGTGATAGAACCGAAACACATATTTAGCTGATAATAATAATTTTATTAATTCCTATTGCATAACTCGTTTGGCATTTTATATAACGTTTGTTGACTGAAACCTACTTAGGTCAGATCAGTGTAACACTGATGTTTTTTTTTTTTTTTTTTCTGGATTCGCTTGGGTAAGGGGTGCAGAAAAAGTAAATATAAAAGCATGCCCCTGTGTGCGAGGTATCTATTTTCTCTTGTACATGTGTATTCACAGATTTGTTGGTTAGGTACAGTTAGTTATGATAGATTCTTTTATCTATTTTTTAAAAATGTATACAGATTTGTTTTCTTTCAGTTTTGCTCAAAAGTCCACCCGTTCTTCATATATCATGACTTACGTTTGCCCATTAAACATTGTGTAAAGAATATGTTCAACAGCATTATGGAGAGTTAACTGAGCATCATGATTGGCTGAATCACTTCCTGGTTTGGTAAAAGTTCATTGCACAAGCCTTGAGGTTTGCAGGAAATCTAGGAGTATCCTTCAATTATTGTTTAATTATTATTAATTTATTGGTTTCAAAAGGAACAATGTTCCTCTAGCAATTTAAATGTGGAACGATAGCGAGACGCAAGAGGTTTCTTGTCATTCAATAACTTTTTAGAAATTCATTGATATAAAACTGGATTCAAGCTGGTTCTTAGACGTGTGCACAGCTTAGGATATGTTTCAGGATGGCCATATTTTGGCCATATAGCGGTTCAGCTCATCCAGTTTTTTGTTTACAAAATATATTCAGGGAAAAATTAATAAGACAAAAGGGGGTTAAAATGGGTCCATCTACCTACTTCCAAATATATACATAATATAAAAATATATATTACTCTTGATTTACAAATACCTTTATCATTTAGTGACTGTCCACTATACATTAATTATGGTTTTTCCCATTAATCATCTCTTTTTATGGTACCAAAAGCAGAACTCTGAATCTCGAATTAAACAAACATACTCATCCATTGAGCGAGTCGTTTGTTTTCTGATTACACTGTGTGGTGGGATAATGGGGAATTCGTACGATCATACTATCGGACCAAATACATATGAATTGCAGTTCATAATGACATGAATCTCCAAGTTTACTTCTTATCTATTTGTAGAACAAATTAAAATAAGCCTCCACCCCTCCTCCCACAGCACTCTAATTTCCTGTAACATATGTGTAAATCTTCTGTTCCTCTTCCGTGCCAGGATTATTTAAGTTTTGAGTAACACAGGTGTTCTTTAAAGGCATGACGTGATCTGTTCATTTGTCAAGCCGTGATCGATGTGTCCGCTTTACATATCGCACAGGAGTGTTAATTGTTTTGCCGATCCATTCCTTTCATTCAAGCTGAAAGTATTTGCAGCACATGGGCCCACGCCACAATAATATATTCATGAACCCAAGAGTTTATCATAACAAGCCAGAGCTAAAATAATGGCAGCCACTATGATCACACCTCCTAAAATGTTCGTTGTCAATTAAACAAACACTAACAATCGTCATCCGCCTTTCAAAACATGGTGACAGACACATACAGGCCTCTACAATTGTATTGATTATTATTCCATGTATTTAGAGCAGGTCACGTATTTTAGATGTTCGTATTTCTCACGTGCCCGTCAAGTCACTATCATTGCATTATGTTACACTTTTGTTTATTTATTTGTATTCTGCGGGAAGGAATTTTCTGTTGCCCCATTCATGTCCTGCTTGTCACTTCCTGCTCTGAAAGGTCAATCCTTGTTGGCATATAGTAGATTATTGACTGTATTACACAAGATGCTAAAAAACATTGACGGAGTATAATTTATTTGGAGGGACCCTTTGAAATTGAATATCAGTCTTACAATTCTTGACTTATACCACAACAGTAAGATGTTCTTCTTGTGCAGTTTAACTTTAGGCATTCTGTAATTAGGAACAGTGCACTAGTGTAAAGTTTTAGTAGTTCCGCCTAGAATATTCACAAAAACATGAAGAAAATACTCAGCCTTCAAAATCTATTTTCTTAGAAAAGTCTCTCCCTCTATCTCTAAATTTATTTATATATACAAAGCGAGATAGAGATATAGTATTTGCTTCATGTATTTGTGAATATTCTAGGAACGTGTGTATGTGTGTGTACACATACACACACACATACATACACAGACACACATACACACACACGTTCCTAGAATATTCACAAATTTATATATACAGAGAGAGGGAGAATTTTCTAAGAAATAGATTTTGAAGGCTGAGTATTTGACTGACTGATATTCAATTTCAAGAGGTCCCTCAGGGTAGACTATACTCTGTCAATGTTTCTTGTGTAAACAGATGCGTACCTAGGGTCTCCAGCGCCATTGGCGAGGAACCATATTGGCGCCCCCCTGCCATTTTACCTGTTAGAGCGGGTAAGGGGGGCAGCCTCTCACTGGCGACGCGCTCTCACACTAAGCGCCAGCTAGTCACGTGACACCCGGTGCTCCTACGCAGAACGGAAGCACCCCCTCCTACTGTGCATGTGGTTCCCATATGTAGCCGCACGCTTCCCTGGGGTGCCGGGTGCCTGTCATACTGACACTTAATTTTTGCGCCCCCCCCCCCCTCGGCCTGCGCTCCTGGTGGGCGCCGGTTTTCGCCAACCCAACGGTAGGTCCATGTGTGTAACGCAGTCCTATACACTAGGTATGTATGTAGTGAATTTGATTAATGTTACTCTGATGGAAATCAGACTCACAATAACATTGATTACTACACAACTTTAGTCCAAACTTGAATCTATTGGGAAATAGGCAGGTTCTGACACCCATAAAACCAAATGCATCAGATTATACGAGGCTGACAAATGACTTGTTTGGACTGAAAGTGATATAGTTATAAAAATCAAATGATTAACTGGTTCTTCGTGGTGTTGGCGGGTATCCATGACTCACATTGTTAATTAATCCACCCATGGCTTCCGCTTGTGTTTTGATTTCTAAATTTATCTGTTAACCTCTCCCTATCTGGGGGAGTCAAATATATATTCCCACAATCGGCACAAAGGTGTTCGAAGGTCAGACGTTTATCACATAATCTTTATTTCTTGAGTTCGTATTAAATGTATGCTTATGGGCAATGTATCGGATGACGAACCTAGCTGAGAATGCGTGATAGAGATCATCATTTGAACAAGGTCGATTGGCTAAAGTATATTATTATTATTAAAATATATACCATCATGTATATATCTATAAAGGCATCAGGAACAGTATAGCATTATGAATACAAACGTATTCCTAATGCCATATTGTTAATCTACCTATTTAGGTTCCCCCTGCACCAGTGAGGGTTTGAAAGGTAAGATAATGCTCCAATCGTCCCACTGACTCTCCACCTCATTGACTTAGATCATCAATCTTGATGATTTTAGCTAATCCAATGTTTAACCCAGTGGAGTACACATGACCCATGGGGCCCCGGTGCAAAAATTGATCCGTGGGCCCCCCCGCGCTTACTCAGCGCGGGTCGGGCCGCAACACATGGCAGCGGGCACCTGGTCGCAGGGGTTGCAGGGCTGCGACCCCGCGACAGCGGTATGCACACACACTTAAAGGACCACTACAGACACCCAGATCACATCAGCTCAATTAAGTGGTCTGGGTGCCAGGTCCCTCTAGTTTTAACCCTGCAGCTGAAAACATAGCAGTTTCACTGAGGGTTAATCCAGCCTCTGGTGGCTGTCTCATTGACAGCTGCTAGAGGAGCTTCCGCGATTCTCACTGTGAAGATCACAGTGAGAAGTCACTGAACGTCTATAGGAAAGCATTGAGTAATGCTTTCCTATGGGCGGTTTAAATGCGCGCGCGCGCCTCTTGCCTTGCATGTGCATTCGGAGCTGAGAGGCGGAGGGATCCCCAGACACACACACTAACACACAAACACACGAACACACAAACACACACTAACAGACACACATTTTTTTTTTACTTTAATACCCCCAGCCTCCTTACCTTTTGGAGGGCTGGGGGGATTCCCTGGGGTCCAGTGGTGCTGCTGGGCTCCTGGGCGGGCTGGCTGTCTGCGTGGCCGGCGCGCGAGGGAGCACTCTCCTTTGAGTGCTTCCTCTTCAGCTCCCTCCGGCTCCGGTATCCATTCGGTGCGCGAGGGAGCTGAAGAGGAAGCACTCAGAGGAAAGTGCTCCCTCGCGCGCCGGCCACCCAGACAGCCAGCCCGCCCGCCCGCCGGGGTCAGCAGGGCCAGCCTCGGGGGGGGAACCCTGAGGTGGCCGCCTCCTGGGCCCCCCAGGAGAAGAGGCTGGCCCTGTGGGTACATACCGTGTCGCAGGGGCGGCCGGGCCCCCTGGTGGGCCGGGCCCGGTCGCAGCCGCGACCCCTGCGACCCTGGTATGTACGCCTCTGGTTTAACCCCTTAAGGACACATGACATGTGTGACATGTCATGTTTACATTTTATTCCAGAAGTTTGGTCCTTAAGGGGGTTAAACCAAAGAAAAACAAGTTACCTGTGCTCTCCTTAATCCCTATGTATTTTTAAACAAATTGAGGTTTTTTAGTAACCTCCAATGGCCATGAGAGGATAAGCCCACCTGCCAACGTCAGTGTTTACCATATGGATACACCGGGAGACTTGTGCTCATGACCGGCAGCACCGCGCTGCACCAGTCAAATACTGCTATATGAACGATTCTCAGAAGTGCTTATAGTGGCTGTGTGGAAGAGCCACTGGAGGTGTGTGAACCCTGCATTTGATACATTGCAGTTTCTGTAAAACTGTATTGTTTTACATTGTAGGGTTACAACTACAGGTCCTCTGCACCCAGGCCACTTCATTGGGATGACGTGGTTTGGGTGAATTTAGTGATACCATAAGGTAAATTAGTGTTGTGTAAAAATAAAATTTAAAAATGCTGTTTTTGTTTTTTCTTGTGTCAAATGGATCTGCTGCATGTTAGAATAATGTGTTTATGATTAATATTTTATTGTGAAATAGGTATTTGAAAAAAATGAAAATTACAGCTATGATACAGATATGTTTCAATAGAGCAATTAGCTATTAGTCACCGGTAAAAACAATCAGAGCTATTTGCTAAAGAGTGAATTGTTAGCAATTCAAACAGGGTTACTCACTAAGTGATGTACAACACACAATTTAGTTATATAGAGTCCATAGAATACTCAATAAAATCCATGTGAGATTCCCTTCCTTCACATCTTAACAATAAATAAAATACACACAAAAGTAAGTAAAACAATACTTCTCTCAAATTATATGTAATAAGGTCTGCAGGAGAGAAACAAAACATGGAGAGGCAATAGCGCACATTATACAGATTCTAAATAGGCTAGAGGTAATAGTAACTGTCACACACACAAAGGTAGTCTAGAGTCATGTGCATAGGCAGAGGGGACTGTGTATTGGAGGGGGGGGGAGCTGGGACACCTATTAGCCCCACCCCCTTTTACTTCCCATCCTAAATAACGAGACTACAAACGTACTTGGTGTCAAAAAACGGATACAGCGTTATAAAATAACAGATGTCATTTACATCAACTCAAAACATATTAATATAATATAACTGATTATCAACCACTTCTACAGAGTACCACCGTGCCAACCTAATCCAGTTACCTGGGCTCTTGTCCTCCCCACTCATCCTAACCATTAAAATGGCCTTTAGCCTGGTCTTACGTTAATGTAATGCTGACCAATAGCCTGCCATTGGCTCAGTGAGCCCGTCCATTAACCCATACCTGTACCCAAGGTTAGCGGAGGGATCAGCCCTGAACATTCATCATCCCACGGACCGCTAATCCAACCTGGATTGTCAAAGACCTTCATCCGCCCGCTGTGACAAAAGACAAAAATTAGAACAGAAAACAAACAACATCCGCAAAGGAGGGAGTGCGGGAAGCTGTTACCAAGCCAGTCAATTTAAGATGGCTGCTTGCCCACTAAAATGCAAGCAGCATTTATTTCTTTATTCCTCACCCATTCTCTTAGGTTCCCTATTATTACCAGATTAAGAGCCCAGTGGGCCTGGTACTGACAATTATGATGGGCCTAATTACAAAATCTTATCGACCAAAAACACTAAAACAGTCCTACCTTCCAAGCCTCATGTATCTAATGGAGATGGTGCTGGAGGGAAACTCATAGGATGCAGCTATGAGAAAACACATACCCTATACTAATCTCACGCTTTCATCTTTCAAGTAAATCCATACCCCCTAACAGCAGTGTCCAGTAAAGCAGAAAGTCTATAGATGGAGTAAAAGGGTGGGCCACTGGCGCAAATCACATAACCAGAACTGCTGAAAGGGGCAAACATACCCAAAAAGAGGGCATGCCTTCCAGTCTCTTTGTGTCTGTGTCCCCATGTCTCCCAGTGTCCCCATGTCACTAGGGGACATTGAGAGACATTGGGACACTGGGAGACATGGGAACACTGAGATACTAGGGAACACTGGGAGACATGGGGCACTGAGACACTGTGATATGTAGGGGACACTGGAGACTTGATAAAGACCTGGTTACAGGTCAAAACGTTGTGATGTCCAATAAACCTGCTTAAATCTATCACAGTGAGTGCCTGAGATTTTTTTATTTTATACTAGGGGACACTGATACACTTAGGGGGAAAGTGAGACATGGGGAAACTGTGAGACATGGGGAAACTGGGAGACTAGGGGACTCTGGGAGACATTGGGACACTGAGACACTGGTAGACTAGGGGACTTTGGGAGACTAGTTACATAGTTACCTAGTTGAAAAGAGACTTTCGTCCATCAAGGTCAGCTTTCCTAGGAAACACTGAGACACCAGGGACACTGGGAAACATGGGGACACTGAGATACTAAGGACACTGGCTGGGAGACATGGGGACACTGGGAGTGCCCCATGTCTCCCAGGTCTCAAAGTCGCCCAGTGTCCCCATGTCTCTCAAGGTCCCCTAGTGTCTCAGTATCCCCATGTCTCCCAGTGTCACTTAGAGTCTGTGTCCCCATGTCTCCCAGTGTCTCCATGTCACTAGGACACTAGGGAACACTTAGACACATTGGTACACTGTGAGACATGGGGACACTGAGACACTAGGGGACTCTGGGAGACTGGGGGACTCTGGGAGACTAGGGACACAGACACCAGGGACACTGGGAGACATTGGGACACTGAGACACTAGGGGCCACTAGGAGACATGTCTCCCAGTGTCTTAATGTCTCAGTGTCCCCAAGTCTCTCACCGTCCCCATGTCTCACAGTTTCCCCTAGTGTCTCGGTGTCCCCAGGTCTCCAAGTGCCCCCTAGTGTCTGTGTCACAGAGTGTCCCTATGTCTCCCAGTATCCCCAAGTCTCTCACCGTCCCCATCTATCACAGTTTTCCTTAGTGTCTGTGTTGCCAGGTCTCCCAGTGCCCTCTAGTGTCTCAGTGTTTCCAATTGTCCCCATGTCTCACAGTGTCCCTTAGTGTCTCAATGTCCCTTAATGTCTCCCAGTGTTCCCCTAGTGTCTATGTCCCCATGTCTCCCTGCAGCCTTTCTCCCATCCCACACTTACCTGAGCTGTTGGCTGTCTCTGCAGGCTCGGAGCTGCTGTCTGGACTCTCTGTGCAGAGCTGCTCCCCCGCGTATCAGTGAGTAGAGAGAGGCAGGGAGGAAGATGCTGTAACTTTTTATCCCTACCCCTATCCACACACACAGCGACCCCCTAATGGCCGGTGCTGGTATTGCAGAATAATCTGTTTATACTGAGACTTACATTTGTATTGCTGGTATTACTGCAATACCGGCACCGGCTAGGCAGCTTCAAATACCCGAGAAATACTTCTGAGAAATACCTGGCAACCCTAAGAAATAGCTGAGAAATACCTGGCAACCCTAAGAGTAGTGTGTAAAAATAAAATAAAAATGTTTTTGAATCAATGGGCCTATTCCATGGGCTTGGGCCTGGAGCTGCAGCTCCATGAGCCCCTATGTTAAACCGGCCCTGATTGTTACCCTATCTACACCCCCCTCACTCTCATATGTCCTTGTTCTGTCTCTGCCTTGCCTGACCCCTCAGGGTCTGTTTAGACACTGCTCTCTAGTGGTGTAAGCAGTAAGATTAGGAAGGGCTAATTGTAGTGAATAAAATATCAAATTGTAAATTTCAGACTAAAATAGCCAAACTCTGACTGTAATGGAACTAGGTATTTTTTTCCATACCAGCTATTTTGGCTGTAATTAACCAATTTAGTTTTCAAGTATAATTAACTGTTTAGTGAACAATATAATATCAGAGAGCTAAATTTGCTGTCAGTGCTTGCCTGTCATTATTCCCCCCTTTACACATATAATACACCCCCAATATCTCGCACACACAGACTACAGCCCCAATTTTCCCCCAAACACACACAATAACAATTATTCTTAAACAGTGAAAGCACCGATGAGTATCTTTCTTAAAATTTACTTTTTACTTTCATATTAAGTAGTAGTATTAATTGAAAAGAAAATAAAAGTTGGTGGGATGGGCCAGACTCAGGGGTTGAATTTTTGATGGCAGCCCTGGGCGTGTGCAGCTCATATCTTTAGGGTGTGTAAACAGTGACCTTTTCTTCATAAAAAGGGTATATTTATTCAAACTCAACCATTATAAGGGCACACTTATTATTGATCTTGTTACATTCTCATAAACATTCCCTGGTCATGCAGACATACCATACTTTAAAGAGAGGTGGATTCATGGATCTATACTTACCTGGAAGCTAGTTGGTCATTCAAATGATCTGTGGTGATTTTTTAACCTAATTAAAATGATATTAGTTGCTAGATGTACATAAAACTAATTTTAATCAATTCGAAAAATTCTGAAAATTTGGTTCATTCACAAACAAGTAGAAACAGAATCATCCAAACCAAATTATCTGAACTGAATAAGACTTATCCAAATCAAATGAGAATCATCAGAATTAAAATACTGAATTTTTTTTTTTATTTTTTTTTAATTCTAATGATTCTGATTCAGTTCAGAGGATTCTGAATCAGTCTTTTCATGAATGAACCATATTTCAGAATTGATTCGTTTGACGATTGCTAGGAATTATATTTTAAAAATGTTTTGTACATGGCTATTACTTGCTATTTGGGCACTTTATGCAGCCAGCATTGTTAGCAGTGGTTCTACTGTGCAAAGTAGTAGGAGCCGGCAATTGGGGCTAGATGTAGATAACAATTCTGGGTCAAATTTTGAAAACGGGTTTTAACACCCACAACATTCCTTGGTTTCCACAGTAACTGCTCCACCTTTAGAACAGTATATTGTCAAATGCCTCTAATGTATATATGTCACGTGTGTATTTACAAATCCTAGTCAAATCCCATCTACCTACAGTATGTAATTTAATGTATCATATAAGGCAATTAAAGGAACACTAAAAAGTCAATCTTGATGATCTCAGACAGTATGGGAAAGCATTGGGAGGCTATTGCGCATGCGCGGCAAAATGCCATGTTCCACTAATCTGCATCTCCTCATAGAGATGCATTGAATCAGTGCACCTCTGTGGGGAGAGTTCATTGTCTCCATGCAGAGCACACTGTGCAGCACTGACACAGGAAGCACCTCTAGTGGCTGTCTGAGTGACTGCCACTAGAGGATTAATTAGCACGCAGTGTTTACATTAAAAAGCCTGCAGGGACAGCCTATGGACACCAGAACAATTACAAATTCTGCAGCGCTGTACAATGCGTGGTCTAACAAACAAGTACATGTGACCAGACGAGTTGGACGCTAAGGGCCCTGTTTAATGAGCTTACATGCTTGAAGGTTACAATAAGCTGTAGTGGTTCCGGTGACTGCAATGTCCCTTTAAAATAAACTGATTTTGTCTTGCCGGTTGTTTCCCAGTTTATGCAACAGTTTATGCAACACTCACATAATATCCATAGGGTAGGGCTTCATGATGCCACACTGACAGTTTTGTAGACAGTTTGTAATTTGTTTTAATTATTTACTTTTTAATTAAAAAGGAAGTACTGTCGATGCAAGTTTTGACTTGAATGTTGTATATTCAATTACTCACTCCGTATCTTTTAAATTTGTTTTTTTAGTTGAATTCAGCTACGTAACTCGTTATTTGCATGTACCACCTGGGGAAGCGAGCAATGTTCCACATATATGTTATGCCGCCAGCGATGTTACATTTATTTATTTCTTTGTCTAATAGTTTTACATATGTTATCTATCAGTTCAGCAAGTTCTTGCAAGATCCTGCTGTAAACATACAGACATAAATTAAAGGCAGGCTGTTGCTCACTGAAGTGGACACATTAATCTCCATAAACACTACGGATTATATGTATATAATTTTATAGAGAGAGGATACATAACAATGAAGAAAGTATCATAGTACTAGAATAGCATATTTGAGTCCTATAGACATTACAGTTTTGCTCTACAAAGGTCTCTAGAATCCAGAGATGGCATTGATTCCAATAATACTCGTTCCGCCATTTATGTATATTTTATATCATATAATTTGGGGATATGTTTTGAGTTTGGAAACATGTGGACGTCTTTCCACTAATAAATCTACCTCACTCACCACGTAACTGCTTCAGAGTTTCTCCGTAAACACCGCTTCTGTGGGTAAGATCTGCAGCAGCACGATGGACACATGGGGCAATGTGAGAAAATATTGGGGAATATATATGTGGGCTTGAAAAAATTTATAGGGAGATACATACATCCCATTTGTCCCTTTTTAGGTGGGACAGTCCCTATTTTGGACCCAAACCCCTCTGTCTCTCTTCTATATCTTAATGTCCCTCTTTTCTAGGAGCTCCATATTGTTGGTGTGTCTGAGTGTATAACAAAGCTTCACAGCAATAATACTCCCAGTAATGTGTCTTTAAATTACAATAAATGTGTTTAGGAATCAATATATGTAAAAGAGATACATTGTTCTTGTTCTAAATTACATTTTCGTTCCATAAATTATTAGTAAGTTACCTAAAATTTCTCAGAAGAGTCCTGACCCTGGCCACACCCCACTCACACCCCTCAAATTAAAGTGTCCCTATTCTACATATGGGTTGAATGTATAGAGGCAATGTGACTACATAGGGTGATGTGTATGAGGCAATGTGATGACATGAAGGATAAAATATATTGCATATGGGACATAATGAGATGTTGAACACTATATCTGAAGCAGTGTGACACGCATGAGGCAAAATACATTATGGGACAATTTGGAAGCAATAAGGTGGTAGATTATGAGTACTGGAAAATATAAAATTTTTATATATTTCCAAAAAATAATCTTTGCGGTCTTTGAACTTTAACTTCATTATTCTGAAGCTGAAATTTGAGCTTTTTCTATGTTCGTGAACAAGACAACAGAGAGATTATTTTTTCTTTTGTCACATGATTTATTTATTTTTAGGGGTTTTTTTTGTTTTGTTTTTTTTACTTATCCCTGCTGCACATCTAACCTCAGTGATTTCTGATGCGGTGCTGATTTAATCTGAGGGAAAGAGGAACCGTCAGCAATAAAGTGGCGACAATTCCTTGAAATGTTTAAAACAGTGCTGTGAATAACCGCCCTTATCAATAAATTATAAAACAAAGACACAAACCAAATACCTCAACATTCTCTTGCATATCTGAATATCTAGATATCTTTATCTATATATTTTTTACAAACTAGAAACCCATTCACCTTATGACTTGTACGTACACATTACAGAATATGTCATATCAATAATACCGATGTCTATAAAAATCTAAATTATCCTATTGTGATTTTCAGTGTAAAATAGAAAGATGGGAGATTTTTTACGACTCTACTACTGCGCTCTAAACGTTACAGATCAGTAGTCAACTCTGTCAGAACATTCCACTGTTTAAAGTACAGACATCCTAGTTTGTAAGCTGCTTCATAAAAAGGTATAAAACCATTCTTCTCATTTATATGAGGAAAACTACCATTAAACTGTGTTTTTTCTAATAAATATTTAATTGTAGCTGAAAGCTGAGTGTTCGCTCTCTGAGCGACGCCATTTTAAGTTACCCTTAGTCGCAAACAGCGCTTTCTAGAACAAAGATCTTCATGCCTTGCTACACATTCACATTTCAAGATTGGGCAAACTAAGATGAATTTTTATTGGGCAAGCACAGTGTCTGATAGAGTATCACCTAAAATGGCAACTTTGCTAGAAGAAGCATGATGGCTTCTCCACAGGACTTAGAAGTTAATTTGTAAACGCATGCTTTATAAAAAAAACAAAAAAAAAAACAGAAAAATCCAACTTTATTTGTATCACAAAGCTGCCATTTTGGTGACAATTTTATTTTAAAAAGAAGTTGTCACTTTTACAGAAATTACACTGTTAATAAAACTTCTGTGTAGCTTTTCATGAAGCGTACAATGTATCACATTTATTTAATGGCCGCAAGCGACAATACATTAATATATTTTCTCTCTAATGGCTTTTGCATATCTTGTCCATCAATTCAACATGTTAATGCAAGATCCTGCTGTAAATATACAGATATAGATAAGTGTGTTTTCAGCTGTAGAGTGAAACTGCAACGGTATTTTAAAACATAGACAGGGCAGTCTGTGCTTGAACTATTAATATTCTACTTTAGAATCCTGACCATATTTAATATCCATGTGCCACCATTTTAAGTGTTAATGCGTCAGAAACAGTGCTATATGACAAATAGATGTACTTTGCCTGGCTTGAAACATTTATCATTGTAATACTGGAGATAAGTAAATATATTTTGAGAGGGCAAGCACTGCTTCTTATAGAGGATCGATTAAAGGGACATTGCAGGCACTATAATTATATAATCTCCTTTAATTGGTTATAGCGACTGGAGGGTCCTGGTACTGTCCCTCCATTAAGTCTCTGGTCACTAGAGAGATGGCTCAGGCAGAGATTACTCACTTCCTTCTAGCCATACCAAGTCCTTCCACAATGGGCATTGTGATAGGCTGAAAGCTGTCAAGTGAGACTCTAAGCCAATCACAATTGCCAATTACTGCTCAGGCTAATGCTTGCTCATTAGCTCAAGTAGCACAGAGGGGGTAGGCTGCTGGGGACTCTCGTTTAGCATACAAACCTTTAAGAACAGTTTAAAGGAACACTATAGGGTGAGGAACACAAATGTGTATTCCTGACCCTATAGTGTTAAAACCACCATCTAGCCCCCTGCCTCCCTAAATATAGTAAACTCGTACTTGTATTCAAGTCTGCAGCTGCTGGCTCTGCCCCTGTCTGCCTCTAACCTACCTGCTGTCTCCTGACATCATCCTACGTGGTGGTCTGAGCCAATCACAATGATTCCCCATAGGATTGGCTGAGACTGACAAGGAGGCAGATCAGGAGCAGAGCCAGCATGATTCAAACACAGCCCTGGCCAATCAGCATCTCCTCATAGAGATGAATTGAATCAATGAATCTCTATGAGGAAAGTTCAGTGTCTGCATGCAGAGGGAGCAGACACTGAATGTTTGGATGCATTTTATGCAGCCATGACCCAGGAAGGATCTCTAACAGCCACTGAGGAGTGGCCAGTGGAGTTATCACTAAGCTGTAAAGTAAACACTGCATTTTCTCTGAAAAGACAGTGTTTACAGCAAAAAGCCTGAAGGTAATGATTCTACTCACCAGAACAAATACAATAAGCTGTAGTTGTTCTGGTGACTATAGTGTCCCTTTAATACTAAATAGAATGACCGCTTCATGGGACTCTAGACACTATAGCCATATCAACGAGGTAAAGCAGTTACAGTTCCTATAGTGTCCCTTTAAAATTGCAGAGCTGAAAGAGTGAATATTATGGGGCCTCCACTGGAATCTACATTAATAATGTATGTACATGTTTTAAAACACTCAAACATCCAACAATGTTTGTATTATATATATACTGTATATTTTGTATTTTTATTTTATTTTAGTAACAGTTTTCCTTTAATGTCACATGCAAATTCAATGTGTTTTTTTCAACCTTTTAAAAGGATGCTGGTAAGTATACTGTTTTATTTATAGTTTACATTATTTATTTTGTTACCTCTCTATAAGATACCAGTATAACAGGTTTCAGTGATCATTGATTAATGCCCTTTTGTGATAAGACAAATGTCTTTTGTGTCTAGCCAGCTTTAAATCCACAGGGACAGTTTCTACCAGCCCAATTTCTTTAACTGTTTACTTTGTGCAAATCATAAGGCTGATACAAACACTACCCATTAAAGCTTAATGTACGAGGCCAGGAAGGATTAAAACAAAAATAGACAGATCACGAAGGTCATGGCTATTGATAAAGGAAATGAGTAAACATACAAAAAAAACAAGCAGCATATAAACAAAAGCAAATTCAATAAGAGGAGGAACGATGGTTTGATGAGAAAACATGATAACCATTCCAGTAACAATATTATGTTTCTGGTATTAATTATTATTAAAACCAATTATGAACGAAACAAATTAATTGTATCTGAACATTAATAGCATATATTTTATCAATCAATATTTAGTGATATTCTGTTAGTTGCTCCAACACTTCATGTGATCCCTTTTGAAAAACACCAAAAATCTGCAATTGAAGTTGAGCACTGTAATATACAGTGTTCACGAAAAACATACTTTTCCAAGACGCTTATCTTCTGGTTTTCAATGTAGATCAATTGAAATGAACAATAACAAAATAGGCAGACATAAATCATAGTGTAGTAATTAATAAAGCAGTAAAAGTCTGCACCAATCTCAAATAGAATACTCACAATAGCTCTCAATTCGTTAACCTCTGGACCTGTGCTGGCGGCTATTAGCCTAAAAAGATGTGGCCTGTTTATTTATATATTTTCAAAGCTGTGGCTGCCAGAACAGGCTCAGAGGCTATAGTGAGAGCTGGCTTACTAGCTCTGACTAATGTGAGTGTTCTGTTTTGGAATCTAACTAATATGAGTGTTACATTTTGGATTGGTGCAAATTTTCCTCACTGATTTATTAATTACTACACTGTGATTTTGTTATTTTTAAGATCTAGTTTGAAAAATAATAGTCTTTTGGAAAAGTGTGTTTATTACAAACTCTGTGTTATAACGCTCCACTTCATTGCACGTTTAATTAAAATTGTGGTTTAAATCTTTTTTTCTTTTTAAAGAGACATTATAGTCAGCAGAACAACTACAGCGTATTGTAATTGTTTTGGTGAGTATAGTCAGTACTTGCAGGCTTTTTGCTGTAAACATTGTCATTCCAGAGAAAAGGCAGTGTTTACATTACAGCCTAGAGACACCTCCAGTGGACACTCCCAAATGGCTACTACAGGTGCTTCCTCAGACAGTGCTTTAATTAGCCAGGGCAGGGTTTGGCCCTGCCCCCATCCCGCCTCCTTGACTATATCAGCCAATCCAATGCTTCCCTTGTGGGCTGCATGACATGAGGATTGCTGTTTCAGTCTTATGAAGTTGTTATGGTGCTAGGAGGCCCATGGAGGAACTCTTACCTCAAAGGGTTTAACCATTCTGGAACGTTTTAACCCTGACGTTTCCTCCAGCGGTAATGTCCTGTCCTCCCCAGCGGCATCTAGTTTAAGAATTTTCAGATTCAGAAAGCGCGGAGTGCCACCAGGCAGGGGCGCCACTGATTGGATGAGACCAACCAGCTGATGCTCTCATCCAATCAGTGACTCCCCATTTACAATATAATCAAATATGGAAGCAGGAATTAATCTAAACTAAAATGGCTAAATGAGAAAATGTAAGAACATTTGAATTATGGTGAACGGAAAATTCAGAGTAAAAATAAATAAAATTCTGACTTTGTAGCTGAATTGGAGAATTTTACCAAATCAGCTACTTTGCCATTCAGTTTTCAAATAATGTGATTCCTTCAGGGTTACTTACTAAAGTGAGATTTTTTTGGGGGGGTGGGGGGGAGGTTGAAGTGAATTTGAAATGTAACCCCTTAAGGACAAAACTTCTGGAATAAAAGGGAATCATGACATGTCACACATGTCATGTGTCCTTAAGTTAAGGGGTTAAAGGGCACCTGTCATGCCCCAAACAATGTATGCTCATTTGATTGAGCATAAGATTATATCTCTACATTGTGCTTGCAGTTTTGCTAGCAAATGTATAGATTAGGATAAAAACCTATTTAAAAATGTTTTTCTCCCAGCTGTCAGTCAGTGCTCGGTGTGCCATGGCATTGACTGACAAGGGAGAGCAGAAATGACCTCCCACACGATGCTCTTCTCCCATAACAACCATAGTGCATGCGCTGTGGTTGCTATGGAAACTCCCTAGACTGCGCTTTTAGCACTGGCTAGGGAGTATAGGAACGGAGTGACGTGACATGACGAAGCTAGCGTGCCAACATCAGCGTGCCAACATCTTTGACAAAATTTGTCCTGCCGCTTGGGGATGCATCCCAAGCAGGACAAATCAGATAAGACTTTAGGAGAAGCCTAGGCAGAACAGAGAATGGTCAGCCCACGAAGTGGCCCTGGAACAGAGGAAAAGTGAGTAAATCTTTCAACTTTACATTGAATACACACATATTTATCATATATGGTATATTCAATGTATATGGGAGCGATTTCAGGTAACATTTTTTTTTTTTTTTTTACGATAATGCCAAAGTACTGTAAAATTTCTGTAAAAATTCTGAAAGTCAACTTGATTTGTATTAATCTGAAATTGAAATTTAATTTGAATTCACTGTGAATTCCCAACAATTAGTGAATAACTTTGCTTGTTTAATAAATAAACCCTTTTGAATTATTTAACTGTAAGGTAATTCTCAATTTAGACCTAAGGTGGAAAAATTGTTGCACTGTAGTGTTTTCTCCCCCCTCCCCCCCTAACCCCCTCCAATTTACCTATTTGGCCTAAATTTAGCATGTACCATGGCAGCAGGGATGACTTTAATGATAGTTAAACTTTTATATTTGTGTAAAAAGTCCCAAGAAAACATAGACAACATGAGCATAGACAAAATGAGCAAACATAAAAGAGGAAGTCATTTTTGGGGGGTTTCCTATTTTTTTCATTTTCCTCTTATAACGGTACAGCCTTTCTAGGCAGCAGAGCGTGTCGGTTTGTGGTTAATACTCCCAGCATGCTTCGTGGCTAGATTGTTAGGTGGTGATATGTTCTCGCTGAGAATGCACTCTACAACAGCGTCTTCTGTCCAAGTGCACACACCTAGAAACAAGAAAAAAATGAATATAATGATAAGTTGAATTTCAAAATTTAGACCAAATTAATAGAGCTGAAAGCACAGTTTACTACAGTTTGATTATTTAGGCCTAAAATTTAAGTCATTTTTAATTCACTTTAAATTCCATACAGTTCACACTTCAGACCTCACAAACACAAGACTCACAGCTTCCTAACTCACCTACAGGGGCAGATGGGCACTCGGTCACATACTGAGGGTCTGACAGCAGGAGGGGACTAAACACACAGTGAAACCCCTATACATATACACTACACCCCCTATACACACTCACTATGCACCCGATACACTTTACCTTCTATACACACTCACTATGCACCCTATATACTTTACCTTCTATACACACTCACTATGCACCCGATACACTTGACCTTCTATGCACACTCACTATGTACCATATACACTTTACATTCTATACACTTTACCAAGCTTAAGCATGCGTGGGATAGGCATAAGGCTATCCTAACCATAAGATAAGGTATTTAGAAAATTAGGCAGACTAGATGGGCCGAATGGTTCTTATCTGCCGTAACATTCTATGTTTCTATATTTCTATGTTTCTATGTTTCTATACACACTCACTATGTACCAAATACTCTTTACCTTCTATACACACTCACTATGCACCCTATACACTTTACCTTCTATACACACTCACTATGTACCCTATACACTTTACCTTCTATACACACTAACTGTGTACCATATACACTTTACCTTCTATACACACTCACTATGCACCCTATATACTTTACCTTCTATACACACTCACTATGCACCCTATATACTTTACCTTCTATACACACTTACTATGCACCCTATATACTTTACCTTCTATACACACTCACTATGCACCCTATATACTTTACCTTTTATACACACTCACTATGTACCATATACACTTTACCTTCTATACACACTGACTTTGCACCATATATACTTTACCTTCTATACACACTCACTATGTACCATATACACTTTACCTTCTATACACACTCACTATGCACCCTATATACTTTACCTTTTATACACACTCACTATGTACCATATACACTTTACCTTCTATACACACTGACTTTGCACCATATATACTTTACCTTCTATATGCACCCTAAACACTTTAACTTCTATACACACACAGTACGTACCCTATACACTTTACCTTCTATACACACACAATACGTCCATACACACACTATGTTCCATTACACATGGAGCACACTTATAGATATATACTACACCGCTCTACACATACATACACTACACCTTCTATACACACACCATACTCCCTGTACACAAGCATACACACAGATTAAACCCTCTGTACATACACTCTACACATATATGCACACTATACCCTATGCTTATACACACAACATGCAACCACTGTACACACACTATGTCCCATGCACATACACTATACCCCCTATACACACATGCACACTGTCCCCTCTATACACAAATACTCCAGCTCCTATGCACACACGCATACTACAGACCCTTTGCATATCCAATACACAACAAATCCTAATACACAAACACAAAGCAACACATTTTTGTCTCATTATAGGTGTCAATGGGGCCTTAAGTTAGAATTTTGCAAAGGGCATGCAAAGTCTATAGCCACCATTGTTTGTTATATGTAGGGGATATGTAAACATAATATTAAATATCCTATTAAATTCTCCTTTTAATGTACCAATAAAACACGTTCCTGTTTCAAATCACTCATTCGTCTGCACAAATAATTGGTACTATTCAAAGTCACTTCAAATACTATACTGGAATACTATACTTCCTGACCGCTCCTCTAGTCAAAATACCTTAAAGTAAAAATGTCCTTTTTGTAGTTGAAACATGTTAAAACAGCATATTTTGATTTAATTTTAAATAAAAGTAAGGTTGTTGTTAAAATTCCATGACCTCTGGAGCTCCTACTGGGGTCCTGCTGAATCTGTTACTGATAGAATCTTCTAATGTATCCACAGCTACGGACATCATGTGCAACATTTCAAAGTTCTGAGAGAGAAAAATGGAATCTACTATCTGTGGGAGACCAAGTTCAACTCTATAAATGAACTCGTGGATCACTATCGAACAAGCTCCATAGCTAAATCTCACCAAGTCTTTCTGCGAGATGAAGAAGAGAAGGTAAATATTCAGTGGGAATTATTAAATGGGGTCTTATTTTGCTTGAAATAACAAAGTCCTTTTCTAAACTGATGGCATTGTGTGATATGATATCTGAAAGGCTTACAGTAAAATGGATGTTGAAATGCTATGTGTGAAGTAGATAGCGACAGATAAGATTAGGCAAAAGTAACAATGTTTTTTTTTTTTTTTTTTTTTTTCAGGAAGATTAAAGGACCACTCTAGGCACCCAGACCACTTCAGCTTAATGAAGTGGTCTGGGTGCCTGGTCCAGCTAGGGTTAACCCATTTTTTCATAAACATAGCAGTTTCAGAGAAACTGCTATATTTATGAATGGGTTAAGCCTTCCCCTCATTCCTCTAGTGGCTGTCTCATTGACAGCCACTAGAGGCGCTTGCGTGCTTCTCACTGTGATTTTCACAGTGAGAGCACGCCAGCGTCCATAGGAAAGCATTGAGAATGCTTTCCTATGTGACCGGCTGAATGCGCGCGCAGCTCTTGCCGCGCGTGCGCATTCAGCCGACGGAGCGGATCGGAGGAGGAGAGGAGGCAGTGAGCTCTCCGCCCAGCGCTGGAAAAAGGTAAGTTTAACCCCTTTTCCAGAGCCGGGCGGGAGGGGGAACCTGAGGGTGGGGGCACCCTCAGGGCACTATAGTGCCAGGAAAACGAGTATGTTTTCCTGGCACTATAGTGGTCCTTTAATAATCAAATGCCTTTGCCTAAATTTAAATAAATACAGACAACTCAGAACGTGTACATTTTAATTGTAGTGCTACTGAAAAGATTATAAACTAACAATTAATAGATTTAGTTGTAGGACATGGCCTTATGATGCTTACGTAAGATCTGCCAATTTCCCAGCGATTGCATATTTCGCAAAGACCCCTGAAACAGATGTATCGGGTGTGGGTACAGGGGCTTGGAAATCAAGAGGAGGTGAATTCTATGTAACAGCTGTCCCTTACGGCTGCCGCCATCTTCATGATGAATGTCCTCTTTGGCTCCTGGAGCTATGTTAGTGCGCATGCAAGACCGCAGGATCCTCCACAGACAAAGCCTCAATCCCACAGCCGTTATTTGTGATGGGTGCTGGGATTGGATAAACGTTGACAGAGGAGCTCTTCCTTTTGTCAACCTCAGGCTGTACCATAAGGCAAGGTAAGCCGTACCTTGTCTTATGTTATCTCCGACTTGCAGTCTTAACTAGTAAGTCATAAAGATGATATGTATATGAAATCTAAAATGTGACAGATCTGTTTTAATCTGTTATATGTGTGTATGTGTGTGTGTGTGTGTGTGTTTGAGCAGGGCCTCTCCAACCTATCGTTCCTGTAAGTTTTCTTGTAATTGTCCTATTTATAGTTAAATCCCCCCTCTCATAATATTGTAAAACGCTATGGAATCTGTTGGCGCTATATTAATGGCAATAATAATAATATATTGTTTGTATGTTGTATTTTTGTACCAATGCAATGTTTTGTGGACCCAGGACATACTTGAAAACGAGAGAAATCTCAATGTATCCATCCTGGTAAAATATTTTATAAATAAATAAATCTAGTTTAGGCTTGTCATACCTACCTATCCTCTTTCAATGCTGACTGACCGCTGCAAAGGCTTGTAACATTGATTGACAGGGAGCCAAGATGGAGGTAATGATTGTAGATTGTAGATTTTTATATTTAATTCAACTTTTTTTAGACCTAACAAATAAATGCTTGCTTAATAGTAATATAGTGGATAATAAAAAAAATCTTTACATGACAATTTCCCTTTAAAATATTTATAGCTTATATAATGTGGATTTTTAGCGATTCATCTCCAGCCTAAGCTTTCTTGTACTGCATAAAGTGGTCCCAGAATTAAATGGATACAGAGGCTTAAAGAAACCATTGAGAGTCATTTACATATCCCTTCCCAGAATTCTCTGCATGTGACATAAGCGCTGCATTATGAGGAAAGCAACGGAAAAACGGGTCTAATGACTTGTCCAGGATGTCCAGAAATGCACAGCAACGCTTTCAGGGCTTGTTACGTATATTTTCTAACCTTCTGCCCTAACTTCCCCTCCTACGCAGAAAACAAACAGTGCTAAAGTCGGCCAATCAGCTTCTCCCCCATCCCAAGGCAAAACCAGACAGACTATTTGTTTTCTACAACTTTAAAACTATAGTATTGTTAAGGTTATTTAGAATTCTGGGTTTAGAGCGGAAGAAGCTAAATAAAGCAAGCATTGTACAGTGTTAAATCCTGCATGTCGCAAAACAACTTTTGGAAGCAGAGAACATTGCAACTCTTAACCGATGTGTTAGCTCTGGGGGTTTTGCATTTTTGTGATATGACAGACAAAAATGGTAACCCTCCAAAAACCAGAGGTGTATACATACCTTAGGTATTGTTTTTTGATGTCTGGAATTTTTGTATTCCAGGTACACAATATGCAAATGTTATCAAGTTACAAGAAGTGGATAAAAATTACATGTACTAATTTTTCACGTAGATTTTAGATCTATAACAAAAAAGGAGAGTAGCAGAGAGGTGGAAAGGAAGAAAAGATACACGAGATAAGAAAAAAGTGGGGGCTGTATCCACCATGGGGTTATAAAACAACACCGTCACTTCTAATATAAAGTAAATGCCAAAGATATCCGTCCATCGTAACCTTCTGAAAGGATAATATTGTGTTTCTGATTGTTGCTGTTAGCATATCTTTCATTTAAAGCAAAGCTACCTCCAATGAAAAACCAGTGTCCTGCAGTCAAGTTGAGACCAAGGTTGTCCTAGCTGCCCATGGTATATAATATACTCAATAGTTTTTGATGGTGGGAGTTCAGACCACCAGGAGTTTTTTTGTTTTTAATACTGTACTCTCACATACACTCGAGCATACAAATTGTTCCTCTACTTAAGTTCCTTACTAGACAGTTGTCATGATTGTATGTAGAATTATAATAATCTTATATTGTGCTAGAAAATGGTCGAGATCTCGGTTATCAATCATTGACAACGGTAAACTATGAGAAAGGTTAGACGGCCAGGAAGACTTTCTGGACTGGAGATGGCTTGCCATTTGTCCCATGGGGGAACGTGCCACTGAATGTTAGAGAACATTACTGAGAAATTGTCAGCTAAAGAAAGTAAATTGCTATGCTAAAGTAAAATAATCTGGGCTGAATTATATATATCCAGTTTACCATTACATATAATCCAGTCAACAATTGCAGAGATAACTCAGGATGGTAGGTCACGTGTTCCAATTCAGGACTGTCCTGCTAGATCCGGGACTTCTGTCAGGTATGGTCTTGTACAGCTTTAATTAAAACTAAAATAAAACAACAACAATACAATGGGCAGTTTTTAATAATAACAAACTATCATCTTATTATAAAAACACACACGTTGGATGGCTGTGTGTATCAAGTTGCACGATTTGTCGTTTTTCCTAGATAGGCAAGTGATAACCCGAGTGCTTGTAATCATTCTAACGTAAAATTGTTTAACTCTTTGAGTACCAGAGGAGAGCACTTTGCACAGCAATCTGTTGGCCACACTGCTGGTTCTCAAGGGGTTAAATACCTTGACCGTAATAATCTATGTTTGTTAACAGGCCATATAAAATGCCTTTCAAGTTCAACCGTGGCAGCCCATCCCTGAATTTTACAAGGAAAATCCAGAATGTAATTGGCGCTTTGTAAGGAGAAGCCAATGCTTGTTATTACATTGTTGTTGTCAATATGTTTTCTCTTATTACTAGGCTGTGCATGATTTTATAAGTGACAGTCCCTGAGTGCATCAAGCTGTGAGTTAGGCTGAGTGCGTGATACAATTTACCCTTATTTACACGCTCTAGGCAATCAGACCTGCCCTAATAACACACATCACGTGACCAAACACGGTGTGAACTCTCAGCACCAGGAAACATAGAGAAAAACAACGCATTTTAGACAGATCTAACAAAACCCAGGTGGTTTTATGTATTTCAACAAAACATCCCAGTAGACTTTCTAAGAAAGTTTAATGGAATGTACAACGTGAAGGCCTTTTGACACTGGAATCAAGAATGGACTCCAGAACCTTAAAGAGACATGCTTTCACTTGCATTTAACATTGAAAAAGTTTCAGAATAAATATTTAGTATGCTTCTTTTCTGTGTGATAGTATATGTGTAAAGGTATATTTTTGTAAGTATTTGAGGACAGACACATTAGATAATAGATAATTCTGTTAGAAATGCTCACAATTTTTTTGCACTTTACATTTTTCTTTTTGATTTCAAAATTAATTTTATTGTATGATATATTCACATAACAAAATAAATTCTATTTGTCAACAGACATGTAGGAATCGGGACAGGAGGGGACCATAGTGGGTATGGGGACCATAGTGGGGGTGCCAGCGATGGAATTCAAGTCATAGAATCTGTTTAAGAGTGTGAAAGGCTCAGTGTGCATGTACACCAGAATGATTGGCAGTGTCCTGTAAAATACTGGCTTTATGGGAGCAGGGGCCAAAAATCAGGACTTCCCAGCCTGATTTGGGATTGCTTGCAAGTATGAATGCATTCAAACAGCACAAATTGTAAGAGAGATGCAAACTGTCAATGTGAAGTAGATTAATGTTAGGATGCCACTTGAATGGACCGGACATAAACATTTGAATTTAAAGCAAATGCAGAGTTAAGGTAGTTAATGATGAGGGGACTTAGGCTAGTGTAAAAAAAAAAAAGGTGAACGGATACAGTATATTTCCAAAAAAAGGATAAATTTCATTGCGACTTTTGGAATATTAAAAACCTGATATCACTATTGTTTATAAGACACAACCAAAAACTGCACTGCCATGATGTGTTCATATACTTGATAGTTATCTCAGTACTTTGCAATGATGGACTGGCATAAATGAGGTCTAGATGGTCATAAAAGGACAATCCCGACCTTTTATGAGAGTGGATAGTTGTAATATAGAGAGATCCTGGAACTAATGTAACAAAGTGAGAGTTAATATGTAAATATTTAACATTTTGTTTTTTTCTGTTTAGTTTTTTTGGGCATGGAGGCTGCCATTTTGAAATTGCATCAAAATTCTTTTTTTTTATTCTTTATTTTTGCATTGACAGACATTTAGTGTGACATCAATGTCGGCTTACCCAGAAGCCCATTCTTCAATTTCGCTTTGATCATGTTACAGAAAGGAAAGTTGGGTTGTTAGTGTACATAATATATGTTGTTGAGATATTCCATGTGGGTTGCGTAGAGGCCGCCATCGCTTAGTTTTCGTTTCGCCTGTCAAGGTTTTTCTTTCCTTTTATGCATAGAACATGTACAGGAAAATATGTACAAACAAAGAACAAAATAAAATAGAAGGAAAATATAGTTAAAACTTAGAACTGCACGAGTAAGTAGTCGTCTGTGAGTGGGTGCTCATTTGTCTTATGGTTTTTCATCATATTGTTCCCAAAGGGCCCATACCTTTTGGAATGTGGTGGTGGTGTTGCGGACGTTTGCTGTCATCTTGTCCATTAAATAATTATCTCTGATTTTGGAAATTACTAGAGATATTGGGGGTGTCTCAGGTTTTATCCAGTATTGTACCAATGCTCTTCGAGCTGGTAGATTAAGCATATTCAGTAGTTTTTGGTCGTGTTTGTCTAGTCCATCTGTCGGTCGTGATAGAAGGCATGCCCAATGGTACAGTGTTATTCGTCTGTGTAAAATTTTAGTGTTCATGTCTACTATTTTTCCCCCAAACTCTTTTACTTTGGTGCATTGCCACCACATGTGGATGTATGTGCCTTTTTCCCCACATAGTCGCCAACAGGTGTCTGTGGGGCATAGTTGCATGTGGTATTGTTTAACTGGGGTTGTATACCACCGGAGCATTGTTTTGTATGCTTGTTCCTGAAGGGTCGTGCATATAGACACTTTTGTGTTTGCCTCCCATATATCTTGCCACTCTGTCCCCTCTAACGTTTCACCCAAATCTGCTTCCCATTTGTCTGTGTATGTCTGTGTTCCCCACGTTCCTGATTCTAAGCATATGTGGTTGTATAATAGTGAGATTAATTTCACTGGCATTTTTTCTTTTAGGCAGATTTGCTCAAAGAAAGTAATGGTGCATCAACATTCTTAAGCTGTCAGTGACAACTGCTGAGAAATGTCTACCGAAAGCATGTGATCTCAGCAGCCAACCATAGATTTGTACAATTAAGATGATTAAGAATATTTCATTATAGAAAAAAAGGCAATGGTTATCTGAATTCAGTGAAGGCCAATTACTGTCACAGAAAGTCAGTAATAACTAGAAATATTTTGTTCATGTTTTAATTAAAAACATTTTTAAAATAAAACAATAAAAAATAATTTAAACATATATATAATTTTTTTTTAAATACAGATGACTGTATTTTATTTGTCCTCTGTCATCAAAAATATGTACTTTGGGAAAACTTAGATATGATTAAATTTGTTACTTAAGCCTAACTATAATGCAATGTTTATAATTGGTTATAATTGTCCTTTAGTAAAATCAAGAGGTACTTTTTTACACATTCATCTGAGTCCATCTATATCTGGTCCATGTGTTCATTTTAGCTGTCACCATAGATATCAACAGTATGTCTTTTAATATTTAGCACCTTCCCCCAGAATAGCATAAACTACTCCCCAATAACTCTAGATACATACATTATAAATAGATTACATCATCGCCCATTGGTGACGCTATCTTCTTGATTATTCTTCCCCCTTATATGGAAAAGAAATGCTAAATTTCAGATCGATGTGCAACGTGGTTAGTATTCACATCACAAAACGAAACAGGTCTAAAATGCTAAATTTCAGATCGATGTGCAACGTGGTTAGTATTCACATCACAAAATGAAACAGGTCTAAAATGCTAAAGTGATTTTCCTAAATCCGGGAAATGTGCAAGATATGGCACTGTCTGAGGTGCGAGACTGTCTGGGGTGTGAGACTGTCCTGGGTGGGAATGTTGTCAAAGAACAATGTATCTGTCTAAAACTAATCACATTTCTCTGCTGAATCATCAAAAGCTGACAATTTAAAACTCCAAGTTGGGAGAGTTAGTAAACCGATATTCACTTGGAGGCTAGTGTAAGATAAATCTATTGTGTGATTACTGTCACAAAGCCAACAAAACAACATAGCAGGCATATGTAAAGTGGAGATGCCACATGTCAGATTTCTGCACAACACGGTAGCCCAATTATTATTTCCTAGTTCACAACCATTTTTATTCTTTCTTCGTATTGTATGTGTGGCTGTCCTGGCACAGCCAGCGTACACCATGCAAATTAATTTAAGATCAAGGACAGGCTAGAAAATCACAGGTGATCAGAATGTAACAACATAGAATTACTGGGAAATTGAGAGAAATTAAAATCCTAGCATGGCGTAGAGAGGGAACAATATAGGATAAGGGGACAGTGGGGAAATACAAATCACAGCTTTTCAGAGGGTGTGGAATAGTTGGAAATGTATGTTGGCACCCACTCTTCCTTTTGTGTGTATTTTTGCGCCGCCTTGTGTTTTTTTTTCCTACCGTCCCCCCCTCCCCTTTCATCCTTGTTTATCTCTTAATCCCCTTTCACCTTCTTAACACCATTAGCTCTTCTTAGCCCTCTTACCCTTTTTTGCCCCACACAGGTAAAGGCAGTGACAGACATGCATGCTTACATACATAGGCATTCAATCATACATGCAGTCACATACAAATAGGGGCACCCAATCACATACGCAGACACACAATCACCTATAGTCACAATATACGTACAGATAATAGGTCCACCCCCTTAAAATCTAAAGTATCCCACACTCGAAGACCATGGTATGGGGCCTTTTATAGCAACTGGACAGCAACGGCTGCCCAGTCGTCAGTTTTAAGATATGCCCCAACCTGTCGGGGGAATGTGGACGTACAATACCTCCATTTTAGAAATACGGGGATCTTATTGACCGCCATAAGATTTGTATTTATTTAATCTTATTTTTTTTACTTTTTTTAATGTGGTGGCTGGCTAGCAAGTGCTAGCCACTGCTGAGGGTTTTTCATGATTTGCCCACTGGCTGTTAGCTCTGCCAGCAGGTAAATCATTCAGACTTTTTTTTTTTTTATTAATCCAAGTTCGGAGTTGAATTTTCCAATTCTGGATTTGCTCCATTTGGGCATGGATTTCAGCCATCCTGCGGTGTTCAATTTGGTTAAAATCCAAGGCCTGTTTGGGACATGAATTACAAAATCCAGATATTGATGGATCCCATAAAAAATGTCTGGATTTCGTAGTCCAAATGGCCCCGTATGCAACTGAGTGGTTATACCTGATAAAGTTTGGAGCCATTCAGACTTTTGTGAATAACCTATTCTGTATAAAAACACCTCACTATTTGGAGCCTTAAAAATCAGCATGAGAGCCATGTAGTTGGGATTTTTTTTTTAAATATAAAATATATACCAGTATATTTAAATGGATTATCTATACAGTGCACAGAAAGGGTTAACATGCACCGTAGCATGCCCCTCTGTGTTTGTACTAAGTGTTAAAGATTGTGGTGTTGTGATGGTCTTTAAAAAGCATATGGGGCTGTTTTTGTCATGTGTAAGATGATGTTTGCCTTCTTTGTTTGCATTCATTACTCTGTCTGTGTGAAAGCTGCATTGTGAGTGATGATTTGTTTGTTATTGCGCTGGAGCTGCTGTGTCAGTCATCTGACTCAGTCTTTAGCTGTAGGTGGATTCGACCTGTCTGTGATGTGCAGGTTTTCCTGTAAACACTCAATACAATAGTGCATAGTTCCCAAGTCACCAGTCTGTATATTATTTGTAGCAAGATTGTTCGATTTTCACGGTTAATTGAGTAAAAAACATGGATGTGTACTGACGACAGCTATAGTGAAAACAACTTTACATTTACAAATAAGTAAAGATTTTTATTAACATTTTTATTTTAAATATTTTAATGTGGTATTAATATGTTTCCATATTCTGCCTTGTATGTATTTTTTTTCCTCTTCTTTGTTAAAAGGGCACTTTAAGCACCATAACCACTACATCTTGTTGTAGTTGTTTGGTTTCTGTGAGTCCTTCGGTGCTATGACCCACTATTATGTCCATCAATTTTCTTCAGTGTAACTTTGGCCCTTCCTGGCACCCATAGCTCTTCCCCTCTGTTGATGTTCAGATAATGTGTAATTTAACATTTTCAAAGGCGTCCAACTTTGGGCAGCAGTAATTGGGAGGCAGTCAAGGATTGGACCGCAGTGATAATTGGTTGGAACTGATAACAAATAGAGACATGCTTTAGAATTTTCAACTGATTAAATCAGTGGTTCTTAATTCCTCGTTGGAGAACTAAAACTCCATGCTATTCTGGTGGGTCAAAATGATTAGAACAGACAGACACATGGTATTTATAAGGCTAAAACAAATTTGGTTATCGTAGAAGGTCTGCCTTTCCCTGTGCCACTGATACCCCACTGTCTTTCCACATCTATTAAGTACAAATGACATAACATTTGAAGAATGGGTCGTCCACAGAGTGTCATGTTTGTAATTGGTTCATGTCAGATAAGTATAAAAGCCATTTAATGGAAAGTTGATTTTTGGTGTTGTACCTCTCTCAGAGCTCTGCCCACCTTTAGAAGATATGATCAATGTGTCGGAAATATCGATGTTAATGGAAAGACTGGCATGTTGCATTTTTAGCTAACAATCTCTACAAGGGCAGGAATATATATTATCTGTGTACTTAAAGGGTCACCAAAACCACTACAGCTTAATGTAGCTTTTCTGGTGTCTCTAGCCTGTCCCTGCAGGCTCAGCGCTATATTACAAAACACTGATTTTTTTAGAGAAAAGACAGTGTTGACATTGCTGCCTAGTAACACCTCTAGTGGCAGTCATTCAGCGGCCACTAGAGGTGATTCCTAGTCCAGTGCTGCGCAGTGTGATTTAATGCATCTCTACGAGGAGATGCTGATTGGCGCTGCGCATGCGCAGTAGCCTCCCAATGCTTATGGGAAAGCATTGGATTGGCTGAGATCATCAACATTAATGATCTCAAAATGGAGACAGAGCCAGCCAGAAAAGGCAAGTAAAAACACCTTTTTACTCCACAGCCACACCAGTGTCAGGAATAGATTTTCTTTTTTTTTTATATATAATTCTTTATTTTTCTTAATAGCAAAACGTTCACAATATACACTGTTTATATAGCACAGGATTAACTTATCAAAGATGGTAAGTGTACAAATTCAACAGCACATTTTTTTAGATAAAAAAAGGGGAAAGACAAGAATAGCATAGTGCAGATTGGAGTAATAAGTGTAGTAGAAGGTAAGGAAATGATGTGCACTAAAGGTACATGGGCAGAAAATAACTGTAGAGGTTAACAGGTAGCTTAATTACGAGTAATACCCCTCAGAAGGCCCAGGTAGTAGGATTAGGTGAGCTGCTGGAAAGGTGAGATCGATAGACGACCTGCAGGTGGCTTTTAAAATAAGGGATGAATAAATACACAGGAATTACTCAATGCATCAAGATTATAACCATAGCTGAAGAAGGTAGAGCAGAACCTTTGCATTGGGAGCACATTTTTGTATGTGAAAAGAAAAACAAGATAAACAGCAATATTGGGCACAACAGAGAAATTCCCCTAGGTGGCCCACCCATCAGCAGAACTTCAAGAGAGAAGATGGCAGGTGTCACAAAACCCCCGCACTCAGGTAATAGAGAACAGGCGTTAAGCAAAATATCAAAAAGGAAACAAGTAGCCTTCTATCAGCTGTCATGCAGAGATGTTAATGAGCTGAAGTATGGGCTTGTTTTTATAGCTCAGCCCCCGAGCCCACTCAGCCTATGCCCCTCAAGGGCAGTGCGAAGATCCGAGCCAAGAGCATATGCAGCTGGTTGTGGACTCTAGTAGGAGGCCATTATATCAGTTCTGTCACCCAGGTTGGGAGGCACAGTGGTGCTGTTGGCATCCTACAGGATACAGCTATGGTCTGCCTCGGAGTGTGCCTTTGCGCCCCTCTGCTCTTGGATGATATGCGCCTCATGCTCCGCCGCCATGGGTAGGCCCTCACCACGTGTAAAACTGTGGACTCCTGAGGTGAGTAGGTGTTGGGCTGTGGTATATTACTTGGACTTTCACTAGGAGTAGTGCACAATGCGGTCTCTGACATTTTAGGTAGGCTGTGGCATGGTCTGCTTGCCGTGAAGAGTTTACCAGCCTGAATTGGGCAGCCTCCCCAGGCAGAATTGGGATCACCCCCGCCGGTCCAAGGGGGGGTAACAGGGTGCTTGCACAGGAGTAATGGCCTCTGGGCATCCCCGGTCCAGGGGATCGGCCACTTCACCCAGCCGGCGCGCACAAGGCCACATTTGCCATGGTGGAGCCAGTACATGCTCATTGAGTCGCAGACCTCCACCTCACATAGCGGATAAGTCAGATAGCATGGACATTGCTTGTTCAGTCCCAGACCGAGCGTTAGTAGACTTTAATATGCTTTTTATAGTAGACTTCTGTAGGAGCTTATCTGAACATCAATCTAACCTCCATGACAGTTGGGTTCTGTCCCCAGGAATACATCTTTGTATTCCTGACACTATAATGTTCCTTTAATATAGCTGCTTTTATAATATCTCTATTTGGCATTGGCTACACTTTAGATCTCCTACACTACAGTATCAACTTTAAATTGCTGATCACTACTGTCAGGGCTATATAATAACAAAAAAGTTGGAACCAAAAACTGCTACCCTTTTGTCTTCAATAAAGTGACCTTTAACCATTACAGGGCCGTTACTGTGAGTAAGCGCGCTGTGCCTGGTGTTGTAGGTACCGGAGCAAGTGGGAGAGAAAGAGGGGTGACACAAACAGAGTCTTGGTTTCACTTCTATTTTCTTGCCCATTTTCCACCCACTAGGGGCTGCGTTAGTGGAACATAATATTTTATAACTGCAGGTGGGATTAGTCAAGCATCATAACAACATATTAACCCTCTGTGGGATGATGCATAGTGTCTATATGACATTGCATAAAATAATAAGAAATTGTATCCTTAATCTGGGCTTTAAGTTTTGACAGCAGCACGTATGATCGAGGGGTATTAATGATGGGAACTGGACAAAGTTTAGGAAGTAAACCAGTCTGTATTTTATAAGTGAGAGTCTAAGAATAAATGCTGTCTTTATATACTACATAAAAATGACAAAAAAGTTACCTCTGTGCTGTCATAAATCCCTATGCACATTTAAATAACTGGAGGTTTTTCGTATCACTCCAATTGCCATTTAAGTGTAAGCTCACCTGCCACGTCAAGGCAAAACCTCTTAGGTGAGTCCTACAATAACAATTCACTTTGCTGCTTTCACCCAAAAGTCAAAAATCTCCTATGACATTAACTCTTAATAACCCTTAACAGGACACACATGGGGTGGGGGAAGCACTGTAACATGGCTGTGTAATTCAAAAATAAACATACACATTCAAGCTGAAACTCCTACTACTCCTAGACGGCAGCAATGGCTGCAGTATTTATCCCAATACATAGAATAAAAAACAAAACCTTACATGCGCACTATCCCAAATCCCTATGCATATTTAACCCCTTAAGGACCAAACTTCTGGAATAAAAGGGAATCATGACATGTCACACATGTCATGTGTCCTTAAGGGGTTAAATAAAGAGCAAACCTCTTAGATGAGTGGAAACGCAGAGCGGAACACCGGAGACCAGCGCTGCAAGGGAGAAAGGTTGAAGACAACTCACCTTTTTTACCCCTGGCAGCAGAGGCAGGTCACCCAAACTGTGACTAGGGCACTATAGCTGTATAGTGTTCCTTTAAGTTCCATCAAATAATTCATGGATACAAACTAAATGCTGGTAGAATAAGTTATTTAACCTTCCATGATATGATCTTTCCAACTGAACGGGTCAGAGATATTTTACTAACATTTAGGATCAGCATAACATAGTATACAAGACCCTAACTTTGTGTGTGCGGAAGGAATTACAAAAAATAGCAAGATGGGATGTCACGGGGCACGTGGTGTGAAGTTCTTTTAAGTAGTATGGACTTTGATTGGTTTATGCTTTGAAGGTGAACAAATCTGTATAAAAATATATTTTCCATTTCATGAGTAAGCCATTAGCGAGAAATGGGAAGTGGCATGATAGATACGATAATTGGGGCTAGTCGGCTACTATGCTAGAAGATCGGCTGCTCTATTTTGGACTATTTGTAGGTGATCAGTATTTTTTTCTAGAAGACCCAAGTGTCCAGAAAGAAAGACGCCAATGCACGTATTAAGGTGGCATTCTGGTGGAGCTGTATTGATCTTTGTGCTCTTTGTGACCTGTGTAAAGGTTTTAATCCTCCGATAAAAATGTTTATTATCATCCCAGAAATCTGGTGTTTTAATGGGAAATTATTGGTAGACCACACTTTCTTACATTACACATTATTAATACTTCAGACAGTTGAGGGGGTGTTAAGTAAATTCCCAGCTGCATGTCTTTCTCAAATCTTCCTCTTACATCACTTTAGTGACACCATAAATATACTACGTCTTGGATGTCACTGTAAAAGAAATACCTAGATCAAGGTCTTTTGAGCAAGTGTACGCGGTGGGTAAAGGTCAGAGAGAGCCTTAACATTAGTGCCCTTTTTATAAGTTGTCCTTCAACAGTGTAGACTCCTCAAACACACACAGGGGACTTTTACAGTCATACAGGTGGATTTGTGTGAAAAGCACGGACACTGATTTGTCTGAGCAATACAAGCCTTAGGGTATGTGACCTGTGTGAGTGCAAATGGTACCCACTACCCAATGAGAGAGGAGTACCACATCACTCTGCTAGATCACGGGTGGTGCAGTAATGAGAGGTCCAGTCTTTACAGCCCTTACTACTAGCCAAACAATGCATGGAACCAATGTCCAAACCTGGCCTTGTGCTCTCTGAGTAAGTCTCTGTGGAAGCACAGTCACAGTTAGTCTTTCTATGTCCTCACTGACTCACACAGTAAAGGGACTCTCAGGGACTCTCAGGCTCCATCCACTTAAAGTGACACTGGAGGCACCCAGACCACTTCAGCTCATTGAAATGGTCTGGGTGCAATATCCCTTTTGCACTTAGTGCTGCAATGTAAAACAGAAAAACTGCAATGTTTATGTTGCAGCTCTAAGTCTGCCTCCAGTCAGCCACTGGAGGCGCTTCCTGCATCGTAACGGACCTTTGGTCCTGTATCTCAAGCTGGACATCCTCACACTCTGCATGAGGACACCCAGCATTAGTTTTTCCCCCATAGAAAAGCATTAATTCAATGCTTTCCCACAGGGAGGCCTAGCGCAATGCACGGCACTTGCTGCGAATGCGCATTAGCGCCCGTTTGGCACCGGATGTCGGAGGGGCGGACCGTCGACCCAGCACCGAGGGACAACGGCCCTGGGATAAGGTAAGTAAACTAACAGTTTTTAACCCTTTATTTACCAGGGATCAAGGGAGGGGGGAGGCAGCAGGAGCGATAGTATTCCTGGCACTATAGTATCCCTTTAACAGACAGGGATGAGCCAATAACTACCAGGGGAAAAAGGAACAAGGATGAAGGCTGAGATAATGTGTATTTAAATTTATATAATGTTTTAGCTGATGGGATATACAGCACACGAGACACGGTATCATCCTGTCCACCATTGTGTTGAAATTGGTTCACTATGTTCTAGGTCAGGAAGTTCCAGAAAATGTCAAACAAATGGCAACTTAATCACCAAGTTCTATTGTGATGTTTAAAGCCTGGAGCCTCTAGAAGCTTAGCCCACACCACCTGACGTGCCTGCACCGCGTCCCTCTGCTTTCTGATGGTTTTACTTTTTGAAGTGAGTGACAGCTTAGACTTGTTAAGTACTGTGCGTAATGTTTGTACGTCGAGCAGACTTTGTCTGTGAATTATATGCTGAATAAAGAGATCTAGCCAGACTTCCTGCAATTGTTAATTCAAACCACGGTCTAGAGTTGAGACTTACAGAAATTGCACAGGATGACGAACGTGCTTCCAAATCTCATTTCTTTCATTTCTTTACCCACGTAACAGATATAGTTACCTATTTACTAACAGTTTTACCTCCAGTCCCAGTGCTGTTGGCATCCGACCTGAATACACAGCAGCTCATATATTTTAGTAATTCAGCAAATTTGCCTTTTCTTTTTATGTTAATAGTTTATTTGGGCTTCTTTCGAGGTATTTTTTTTCAGGTGAATTACGGCTTTCTAATAATCACTTTTATTTAATTGCCTGCTTCAATGGATATAAGAAGGGTTCAATGGCCTCATTTAACATTGCAGGATGAAGTATTGATTTATTATATTTGTTTATTTATTTTGTACATTTTTAATGGCTAGGCAGCTTTCCCTTCTTAACAATTATTAGTGGTGTGGTTTATGGTTGGGACATATACTTTAGCACATCCTGTCCCCATAGATATTAAGTCGTTTGAGAATAAACATCATTAGCTGAGACCGTCCGTTTTAAGTAACATGTATCAGCACAGGATGCGTGATAATGACCACTAACACCATCACATGATTAGTTTCTCATTTTGTATTTTTAAACTAATTACCAAGGCCACAATTAGTTTGAAAATAATGAAAAATAGCTTAAGTGCTGCTGTTTTGAGTATAAATGTATCTTCTTTTATTTTTCTCCTAATACAGTGCCTTGTAAAAGTATTCACCCCCCTTGGCATTTTTCGTGTTTTGTTGCCTCACAACAGGATTTGTATCATTTAATTTACAGAACATGCCCACAACTTTAAAGATGTTTTTTTTTTTATTGTGAAGCAAACAACAAACAGGACAAAATAACAGAAAAGGTCAATGTGCATAACATTTCACCCCGCTAAAGTCAATACTTTGTAGAGCCACCTTTTGCGGCAATCACAGCTCCAAGTCAGTACGGATATGTCTCTATGAGCTTGCCACATCTTACCACTGGGATTTTTGCCCATTCCCCCTTGCAAAACTGCTCCAGCTCCTTCAAGTTGGATGGTTTGCGCTTGTGAACCGCAATCTTTAAGTCTGACCACAGATTTTCTATTGGATTGAGGTCTGGGCTTTGACTAGGCCATTCCAACACATTTACATGTTTCCCCTTAAACCACTCAAGTGTTGCTTTAGCAGTGTGGTTGGGGTCCTTGTCCTGCTGGAAAGTGAACCTCCGTCCTAGCCTCAAATCACTCACAGAGTGGTACAGGTTTTACTCAAGAATATCCCTGTATTTAGCACCATCCATCTTTCCCTCAACTCTGACCAGTTTCCCAGTCCCAGCTGCTGAAAAACATCCCCACAGCATGATGATGCCACCACCATGTTTCACTGTGGGGATGGTGTTCTTTGGGTGATGTGATGTGTTGGGTTTGCGCCAGACATAGCGTTTTCTTCGATGGCCGAGAAGTTCAATTTTAGTCTCATCAGACCAGAACACCTTCCTCCATACATTTTGGGAGTCTCCCACATGCCTTTTCGCAAACTCAAAACGTGCCATTTTGTTTTTTGCTGAAAGTAATTACTTTCTTCTGGCCACTCTGCCATAAAGCCCAACTCTATGGAGCGTATGGCTTATTGTTGTCCTATGTACAGATACTCCAGTCTCTGCTGTGGAACTCTGCAGCTCCTCCAGGGTTACCTTAGGTCTCTGTGCTGCCTCTCTTATTAATGCCCTCCTTGCCCGGTCCGTGAGTTTTGGTGGGCGGTCGTCACTTGGCAGGTTCGCTGTTGTGCCATGTTCTTTTCATTTGGTTATGATAGATTTGATGGTGCTCCTGGGGATCTTTAAAGATTTGGATTTTTTTTATAACCTAACCCTGACTTGTACTTCTCAACAACATTGTCCCTTACTTGTTTGGAGAGTTCCTTGGTCTTCATGGCAGTGTTTGGTTAGTGGTGCCTCTTGCTTAGGTGTTGCAGCCTCTGGGGCCTTTCAAAAAAGGTGTGTATACATAATGACAGATCATGTGACACTTAGATTGCACGCAGGTGGACAGCATTTCACTAATTATGTGACTTCTTAAGGTAATTGGTTGCACCAAAGCTTTTTATAGGCTTCATAACAAAGGGGGCGAATACATACGCGCATGCCAATTTTCTGTTTTCTATTTCTAAAAAATAGTTTTATGTATATATTTTTCTCATTTCACTTCACCAACTTAGACTTTTTTGTTCTGATCCATCACATAAAATTCAGATTACAGCCTTAAATTCAAGGTTTTATTAATGTATCAAAATAGGTAAAAAGTCAAAGGGGTGAATACTTTTGCAAGGCACTGTACCTAATGTAGAGATTTTGCTATAGGTATACAAAATAGTTATACACATTCACCCCATCTTTGGAAGCCTTAACAATTTTTAAGTTCTTTTCACAAATAATTTAATTAGTTTATATAGTAATAGAAAAATGCTGATCCTTCCCAGCCTGCAGGTGTGTGTGTGCTCAAGATTTCATTATGAATTTGGAATGAAAACTGAGGTTGATGGATGTGGAATATATTCTGCAGGGTTTGTTGACACACCGACATGAAACCAGCCTGGAGATGTAAGACAAATAAAGTAGAACATGGAACTTAGTGAAGAGCACTGTACGTTTAAATTCGTTAAGGTCTGAATTGTAGCAAATTAAAGGGACTCTCTGGTGGTGTCTAGACTTTCCCTTTAATTTGATCCAGAAATTAAATTGCAAAGCTGTGAAAAGATAGCTATGATGTAACGATATCATAAACGGAGAAATCTCATCAGAAAAGCTAGTTTTGTACAGGTGCCAACATTCAGGAGAGAGAAGGGTTGATAGGGAAACCCATCAAAGAGTGTGTAGAACAGAAATGTATACGTTTATCCAAGTAGCATAATGCAAACCCTGTCTGAAGGAGCAATAACACTTGGTGTGTGGAAGAATTAGAGCGGTAAAATGTGTCACATTTAGAGGCTTGTAACACCATCGACAAAATGTTACGTATTTAAAAACTTTGTTTAAAGTAACATGGGTAAATATTATATTATAATTTTTTAGACCTCTCATGGGCATAACAAACCAAGAAAATGTACAATAATTTTTTCATTTTAAAAATTATGCTATCTATGCATGCTGATGTACATCTTACTGCCCGGAACACAAACCAGCCCCTGATTCCGGTGCTCCTTTTTTTACGCAAATCCCTTGGTTGTAAAGGGGTTAATCTTTGCCAACGTCCGAACAAAAACCTAACTAGTCTGCCTGGCTTATACCCAGTAGACAACTCTTTCCTCCACTTTCATGAGGATGGGAGTGATTGCCAGTGGTGGATATTTTGGTGGGTGGCGAACAACTGAACATGTCTCATTCGAGATTTTTGCCAGAAGCTCAAGGAAGCAAGGTGAATGGTTAGAGTTAGGACCCACCTGGGGTGGTCTGCCTTGACATTGGCAGGTGGGTTTATCCTCTCATGGCCATTGGAGGTAACTAAAAAACCTCCATTTGTTTAAAAATACATAGGGATTAAGGAGAGAGCGCAGGTAACTTGTTTTTCTTTGGTTTTTATTATATATTGGGGCTGATGTGTACTGTAGTCATTGCTGCCGCCCAGTGATGGGAGTGAGCGCAGGACTTATCTTTCTGCATTTGTATCATTTCTTTCTTGCTCGTATCACGAGGATGTATCACACGGATTATTTAGTTATGCAATAAACAGCAATTTGGCTTGTTCCTTCTGCTGAGGCAGGTAAATCCTACAGGAGTGGTGTTGACATTCAAGGTGCAAGATGTGCTCAGCCTTGAGGTGCCTTGTAGAATCCACAATAATTTATTTACTTATTTATTACTTAGGGTGGGTAAAAATAGATTGCCTGACAAACCTGACGGCAGCCTTTTACAATGTGTTTCAGTCCTGTAATGCAGATTGCGATAGTTACTGGGTCTGGAAAAAAGAACACAGTGATTTGAAGTGGTCTTGGTGCGTGGAATCTTTATGTTTCGCTATTAAATGCTGAACATACAGAGTTTAACCCCTCTACTGCCAGAGGTGTAATGCCACCTCTGTCTGCATTATTAGGATGTCATTAATTAACTAAGGGCTCTCAGGTTCAGGGTACAGAAGTGTTGACACAAGTACAGGTTGGGGGCAGGAAGGGTCCCTTGCCTTGCTACCGCTGTGCAGCCCTCAGAGGTAGACATTGCAAATACCCACAAACTCTCCCAAGCTAGGGAGTTGGCTGACTGTTCATCCCACTAATAGTATGGCCTACCTAATAGGCGCTGAGCCCCTGCTACAATGATAACAATCCCATAACATCTCAGAGTTGTTCCTTTTTTTTATCACAACAAAACATAATACCGGTATGTCTCAGAACCTTGGTACAACTACTTTATTTTATTTTCCTTTGTTTTACAAATTTTGCTTTGTTTTGCTTTGAATAATCTTAATTGGAGTGTCCTCCCAAACTCAAAATTAGTTCCAGTGGTGTTCTAGCACATAAGTATGGTGACCAATTTTATGTAAGGTGTACCGCTCATGGTTATCCCTATGGTTTATCAATCAGTAGATAAGGTCGCCGACTTACATTAATCGTAGCTCAGCTGTTTGTTATTCTCTACAGTAATTTACTGTCTATTCTACAGTGTTACTCTCAGTGCATGCCTCCTGCCAGGGCCAGATTAAGAGCACAGTGGGCCTGGTGCTGACAATTATGATGGGCCTAATTACAGAATCTTATCGACCAAAAACACTAAAACAACCATACCTCTCAAGCGTAATTTATCTGATGGAGATGGTGTTGGAGGGAAACTCAAAGGATGCAGCTATACGAAAACACATACTCTATACCATGCTTCCCCAAACGCCAACCCTCCAGATGTTGCTGAACTACAACTCCCATGATTCTCAGCCTATATATTTAATTCATAGAATCATGGGAGTTGTAGTTCAGCAACATCTGCAGGGCTGGAGTTTGGGGAAGCCTGCTCTATACTAATCTCTCTCTAATTTATGCTTTCATCTTTCAAGTAAATCCATAACCCCTAACAGCAGTGTCCAGTGAAGCAGGAAGTCAAAGGGCAGGGTAAAAGGGTGAGCCACTGATGCGAATCATGTGACCAGACCTGCCAAACGGGGTGAACATGCCCAAAAAGGGGGCATGTCTGTCACAGAATTGGAAGGCCAGCCTGGCATGAATGCATGTCAGGCTGCCTGCCAATCATGCATGCTGTCCAACGAAGGGCATACTATGCAGGCAGCACGCTGAACTTGACATAAATGCATCAAATGATGCACCTACTCCACGCTTTTATTGTCAGCCAGTCCACACAAGTTTTGTTGCCACACATCTCTCTTAAGCTTCCAAACTTAAAGGGACACTATAGTCACCAGAACAACTACAGCTTATTGAATTTGTTCTGGTAAGTAGAATCATTCCCTTCAGGCTTTTTGCAGTAAACACTGTCTTTTCAGAAAAAATAACTCCATTGGCAACTCCTTAGATGGCTCCATCCTCTGCATACATTCAATGTATCTTTATGAGGAGATGCTGATTGGCCAGGGCTATGTTTGACTTGTGCTTGCTCTGGTCCTGATCTGCCTAGTTTACAGTCTCAGCCAATCCTACCGGGAAGCAGTGTAATTTGCTCAGACCACCACTTCTGATGATGTCAGCAGACAGAGTCAGTTCAGAGGCACAGCCAGCAGCTGCAGACTACAGAATACAAGTAAGATTTTACTATATTTAGGAGGCGAGAGGAGGCCAGGGGGGCTCGATGTTGGTTTTTGCATAATAGGATCAGAAATACATGATTGTGTTCCTTTAAGCAAGAGAATGTGAAGAGTAGTTAGGGTTGCCACCTTTCTTGTAAAAAATACCAGTATAAATCATTTGTATAATTAATTAGTTATGTGTGACATAACATGATGTAAATCACAAGGTGTGACATAAGAGAAAATTCTGTAAAATCACCAACAAACTACTCACAGTTTGATTCTGCTGTATAGGTTAATTGCTCCCAGTTAGTGATGTCCCGATCGGATCGCCGAACGGTTCGCCGCGGACTCATCATTGAGTAAACTTTGACCCTGTACCTCACAGTCAGCAGACACATTCCAGCCAATCAGCAGCAGACCCTCCCTCCCAGATCCTCCCACCTCCTGGACAGCTCACTAAGAACGCAGCTTCACAATGAATGTAAAATGGATGCTGTCCAAGAGGTGGGAGGGTCTGGAAGGGAGGGGCTGCTGATTGGCTGGAATGTGTCTGCTGACTGTGAGGAACAGGGTCAAAGTTTACTCAATGATGAGTCCGTGGCGAACCGTTCGTGGCGAACCGTTCGGGACATCACTACTCCCAGTGTCTCCCTGTCTCCCAGTCTCGCAAGTCACCCAGTGTCAGTGTCCCCATTTCTTCCAGTGTCCCCATGTCTCAGTATGTCCCCATGTCACTAGGATACTAGGGGACACAGTGAGACATGAGGACACTGAGAGACCTGGGGACATTGAGAAACATGGGGCCACTGAGACACTTGGGAACACTGGGAGACATGGGGGCACTTGTGAATACAGACATGGGGATACTAGGGAAACATGAAGACACTGGGAGACATGGGGGCACTGAGACATTTGGGCACACTGGGAGAAATGGGGACACTGAGACACTAGGGACACAGAGACATGGGGACACAGACACTGGGAGACATGGGGACACTGAAACATTTGGGGAAACTAAGACACTAGGGACACTGAGAGACATTGGAACACAGGCAGTGGGAGACTAGGGGACACTGGGAGAATAGGGGACATTGAGAAACTGGCTGGGAGACAGACACTTGGAGATACTGGGAGACATGGGGACACAGAAATTTGGGGACACTGGAAGACATGGGGACACTGAGAGACATAGGGACACAGACACTGGGAGACTCGGGTACACTGGGAGACATGGGGACACTGAGGACACTGGCTGGGAGACATGGGAATTCTGAGTCACTAGGGACACTGAGAGACATGGGGATACAGACACTGGGAGACTAGGGGAAACTGGGAGCCATGGGGACACTGAGCCACTATGGACACTGGCTGGGGGACATGGGGACACTGTGTCCCTAGTGTCTCCATGTCCCAATGTCTCCTAATGTCCCTATGTCTCACAGAGTCCCCATGTGTCTCAGCGTCCCCATGTCTCACAGTGTCCTCTAGTGTCTCAGTGTCCCCATGTATCTCAGTGTCCCCAGGTCTCCCAGTGTCCCCTAGTGTCTGTGTCCCCATGTCTCCCTGCTGCCTTTCACCCCATCCTTCACTTACCTGAGCTGTAGAGCTGCTGTCTGGACTTTCTGTGCTGTGTAGCTGCTACCCCATGGATCAGTGAGTAGTAGAGAGAGGCAGGAATATGCTGTACCTTCCAATCCCTGCCTCTCTTCACACAAAGTGACCCCTACTGGCTGGTGCAGGTATTGCAGAGTAATCTCTGTTCATACTGAGAAAAATACCTGCATTTGTATTGCCGGTATTACTGCAAGGCAGCCTCAAATACCGGCTGTGCCAGTAAAATACCAGTCAGGTGGCAAACCTAAGAGTAGTGTGTAAAAAAAAAAAGTAAAAAAAAAATGATTATTCTTTTTTTTAAATGGGCCTATTCCCTGGGCCTGGGCCTGGGCCTGGAGCTGCAGCTCCATCAGCCCCTATGTTAATCCGGCCCTGCCTCCTGCCTACTTAATATTCTAACGTTCTACTTAACCTGCACTGTGTTAATCTTGTTCTTTTTCTTTCTTTATTTTTTAAAGTGCTGATTTCTCTCTTATCGCTCAACTTGATACAACATGTCTAGTGTCTGATATGTCATCCTTGTTATTCACATGCGCAGCAAAAATAAAGAATTTACATTTTATTTTATTTTTAAAAAACATTGATATCTTGAATTCCAAAATACTCTTGTTTCTAATGTCACAGATCTGGAAAATTGTGTTCAGCGGTAAATTATGTAAATAAAAAGCCTATGTGGTACGTCGCCTGTAAAATGTTTAATGTATGGTGTATCGTATGTATTCTCTCTGCCCAGTGGCAGAACATGAAATGATAGAAGAGATCTGGGCTACTTTATATAGTCCTCTTTGTATCAATAATGGCTCATTTTATTCAGCTATATGTGCAATTGTTCACCTTCATCCACCACGAATGAAACTAAAAATGTTATTCCATTTTGTTCCGTTTCTTTATTTCACAGAGGAAAAGCCATTTTGTCCGGGCAGAATTTGATTTTAACTCTAGAAAGGTGAATGAGCTGTCCTTCAGACAAGGCGATATCATCGAAGTCTTGGAATCCTCTGACCCCAACTGGTGGAAAGGAAGAATCTCTGGAAGGATTGGCTTGTTCCCAAAGAACTATGTAAACAAAATCTACATGTGACCGGTGTCATCTTTTCATTTTTTTTCTTCAGTTGGAAAAAAAAGTTTCCTTGGTGGTTTTTAGGCTCCTCTAACTTCCAAAGTGTGACCATCTGGGAAAGACTAATAGATATCTCCAGCTTCAAAAGGGTGACCATCTGTGAAAGACTAATAGATATTGTTTTGCCATTGTTCTAAAGGCAGTATCCCATTTGCCCTACATATCAATATATATCTACGGTTTCCAGGTAAGTTCTACTTAGATGCATCTGTAACCCTATGTCCAGTGATGACCTGGATATTGGGAGCTGCACTATCTCAGGAAAACTATTTTGGAGGATTGTCCCTATTAGTTCTTTTTACTGAGATCCATCATTTTCATTCACAACCTTCCTTCCTACAAACAGACGTAAGCTGTGGTTATTATTTTTATTGGTGAACCATGAAGCACAAAAACTATAAATCGAATCCTTCTGTACAAACTTGTTATGTTCATATTTTGTATGATAGATTCTGGATTAGCTTATTCATTTTATTTGTTGATTTTTGTTTTTGCTTAACCCAGTTGTGTCAATCTTTTTAAGTGGGTGTGTGGGTTTTTATTTTGTTTGTTTGTTTTTTTTAAATAAGGAAAGGTGTTGGAACCTTTTTAATACTTTTATTTAACCTAAGGTATATTAATAAATGTTGTATTGAACTAAAATGAAGTAGAAAGTAGAAATATTAATGGAATATCTTGCCTATGTATCTATCACTTTCGGACATCCTAGTAACGGGACGACCCATGCGGAAGTCTCAAAAGCATTGGGGGAAGTCTCACGTGAAACCGAGAATATGTTGATGGGCACGATATTTCTTGAACGGGAAAAGGATTGCCAGATCCACATATATAATTTTATTTTGCCAATCTCAAAGGGTCTAGATGTTGCCCAAATGGTAATACTTCTAAATCATATACATTCTTCTTTGTTCAATGCAAAGCTTTTTATTTGCTGTCCATAAATATAAATATGAATATGGTCAATGTGTCCAGAAAAACATAACGGAACTGTCACCCTTAGATATGGTAGATTTATGGTAAGAAAGTAAAGAATTAAAGGCACATGGCGAACTCTATAATCACTACAGCACACTCTGTTGGTTATGGTGCCAGGAGTGGTGCCCCCTCCCCCATTGTAAGTACTCTAACCTTTTTAGAATGGTGCTGGCCCCCTCAACAACAGCCTCTGTAAGAGCCAATAGTTCTATGGAGGTGCAGGGCGTAGCTTCGGGGTCTCCTGGCTGCTGAGGAGGTAAGGAGCGACTCCCTTTGGACCCCAGTAAGAAATCAAACCATACTAAAATAGTTTGACAACTTACGCAGCTTTTGGGTGCGAGGGCACCGCAGTGGTTATGGTGCTTTGTGTGTTTCTTTAAGTGAACATCTCTGCTTAGGTGTCAGGTAAAGAACAAATACGACATCCTTTTTAAAAAGAGGCATTCTGCAGTGAGTCCTCCGTTGCTTCTTAGCCTTCACTTCATCTTATGCTCTGTCAGGTAGTGCAAACAAAGGATTATGGGGATTATAGTCCTATAGCTGCAGGATGTCTAAGGTTGTACAGACTGCTTCATTTCTTGTAGAGTGAGTAACCCACCAAAGCATTATAGATAACAAGTAAAGTAATGTTTGGGGTGTGGTAGTTTGTAGGTATAAGCATTCCCCCGAAGGCTTTGTGGCTGCTGAAGTTGCAGCTTGTGTTTGTCTCTAAACTATCCGCACCCCTTTGCGTGAGGTCACTGACTCGAACAGATCTGTCTGCTGCTGGCACTGATCACAATCAGCAACAGGATACACCGAACGGTAATATTATAACGAACGCCACACTATCACACCATGAACAGTTCTGGACCTAGAGTACGTTATTGGTGATAGGGATTATGTGCTGACCAGCAGTGTGTAGCAATGATATGCTGCAAGATTCCTAACTGATTAATTACTTCATTTCTTTCATGCAGTATGTGAATTCCACATACAACCATGCATTACAATTCATGTGCTAGCCATCAGTGGGTGCAAATTGTATGTGCACAGGGAAACATGGTGAATCTGGTAACCCTATTTATACCTGAATACTGTGTGTGCACTCTTTGTCTCTGTCTATCTGTTTGTCATCAAAGGGAGAAATTTCACTCATCTATTTACATGTATACACATGTTACATATTTTGTGAAGTGGACCACTTCTCCACCAACCCTATGTATACAGGAGTAGAGGATATTTACTATCCTCCCCATTTCTGAGAGCGGCATTTATCCTAATAAATGATCATGATCCCAGCATGCTCCTCACCCTGCAACCTAACCATTTTCTCCTTTATATTGTCCCAATGCATCATGATGTGACTTCACCCTTTCCCACACTGCAAGAGTCCACAAGCCACAATCTTACAGTGCTGTGAGGAAGTACAAGCCTAGACTGAGATGAGAAAAAGGATTTGGGTACATTTTTATAAAGTCCAAGCAAAGAGTGCTTCACCAATTCTGCGCAAGCTGGTGCCCTGTGTTTGTGATATAATGTTCCAGTTCTGAATGCCACTTTGTATTGTAATTATTAAGTAATGTGTGTTTTTTTTTGTGCGTGCAGTTTTCAATTAGTTTGCATAACTTTTACATCAATTTGCTCTGATTTTTTATTATTTTATATAGATTTATCATTTCCATTTCTTCAGATCTCTATCAATCTGTCCCTTCATTGTGATGCTGTTTATATGTAATATGTGTTCTGATGTAATGTTAGTGTACCACATTCTGTTTCAATACATCATCATGTATAATGTAGAGTTTGTTTCGTGACGTCTTCTATCCCATTAAATCCCAGGGTTGTGAGTAACGATAGGCGAATTCAATATGGACACAGTGCAGTTTCATGCAAAATGTACCCTAATATGAACATTTTCATGAATTAATGCAAAGTTGTGATAATGTTCAAAATTAAAAGCCACAACAATTAAAGGGATGGGAGTTCATTAGCAAGTGCCACATTTGTTTTAAGGATAGCTAATTCCTAAAAATACATTTAGATAAGTAAAAAGAAACATGTAAAAGGAGAAATGATATAGTCAATAAACACTCAGACCTTGAATACTGTTTAAACCTATGAAACATGTCAAAGCATAAACCTTTGCTTTATGAGACCAACTCAGTCTGGAAAGGCTGCTGGAACCCAACACGGCAAGATTAGTGTCTAACCATTCCTAAACATTTAAAAGATTAGCAGCATAAGATGGTATGCTGTAGTGGTTATAGTGTCTACAGTGTCCTTTTAAGGAGAATTATTTTTCCTAATTTAAGAAGTGTTTGCTCTCATGACTCAAACATTTTCGATTAAGAGCTAATTATTCAGGTCATATGAACGTAGACCTAAAGGGACAATATAAAGAATAATAAATGATTGCTTATATTAGAGGAACACAATATTGTCAGGAACACAAAAATATAATCCTGACACTCTCGTGGTAAAATAACTTTATTTCCATGGCCCCCCCTTGCCTCCAGTTGAAAAGGGGATTTTACTCAACTTTTATTCCCACGTTGCACCAGTCTGGCTGCAGCTGGCCCGTCTTGCTCTTCCTCAGTGGCTGAGATCATCAAACTTGATTATCTCAGCCAAGCCATTGGTAGGTTATTGCGCATGCGCCACTCAGCATCTCCCTAATCAATGCATCGATGGGGATCGTTCAACATCTCCACACTGTGCAGCACTGACACAGGAAGCACCCCTAGTGGCAGTCTGAGTGAAAAGGCAGTGTTTACACGAAAAGGGACGGAGGGACAGGTTACAGACATCAGAACCACTACATTAAGCTGTCCTATCCCAGTGACACTCCAAACACTATAGTCCATGCATGTTTATGTAATGGTTATGGGGCAAGGCAGCTACAGGTAATATTTTCCAGTTTCTGTCAAAATGTTTTTGAGCAGCTTGACAACAGAAAGTTTTTCTGCGCCTTAAGCCTACCCCCTTGGCTGGAACCTTGTGTCAGGAAAATGATAAGATCCAGGCGCGATGTATCATCTACAGTGAAGTATTAGGGAGTTTTAGAATAGTTTGGCTTAACATGAGAGGGCCTTTAAAAAAGCCAGAGAAAATCATAAATATGGACAATCCTACGTCAGTGTGACATTGAGCAGCAAAACCGGGGCCTAGCCAAATGTCAATACCAGAGAAACACAAATAATATCAAGAACCACGAAAGGGGATTATATCAGCGGGTTTATATAGGTAGGTGAAGTGGCATCATTTCTGCATCTCCAAAACATAATGTGCATCAATTGAAGTCCTGGTTACCCTCACAACGATTGGACAAGAGAAAAAAGTTTTACGAAGCAGCATTCTGCGTCAAAAATTGAAGCAAATCAGAGGAATGGTACAAACAACTTTGAAAGACACTGAAATAATGCAATATGCTCAGAATTCCACCAACCAGGAGTTTAAAGTAATGTTACACCATCATAATGAAGACATTTTACTTTCCAATTATACAGCAAACTATTTGTATTGCATGCCCATTTCATGCAATGAGAATCCAGGGCCGGGATCAGTCACATCGAATCTCGAGCCCGATCGTTGCAGTCGAATATCTCTTGAACATCAGTCACATTGAATGGGTCAAACTCTAGAAAAGTGATCTGTATTCAGAGTCCCGTAGCAACATAACCATCGCTATAAAATGCAATTAAATGCAGTAGATGTTGGGCTTCGAGTTCTCCCTTTTAACGCCCATAGCTAATCTGACAAATTTACTACATCCCTACTACGATCTATAAAACATTTATTGCAACATTTATTTAGCATAAAAAAAGCCAGATTTCTTTTAATTATTTATTTTTTGTAAACAGAGGAAGGTAAGTTCTTTCAAATTTTCATGAAACCTGATCAGGGTGATACAATGTCGCATCAGGCTTTGCGGAGAGCAACGTTATATCATCTTCAGATAATGCACCCACAGACAACTGCAATTTCTGTGTTAAAAAGACGACCAGTAAATGTTTTATATCTCAAATTAGGAATGTGTCGGTCAGATTTAATACTGTCCTTTTGATGAAGTGAGCTACAATTAGATTCTAAATGTATAGCCCCTTTTAAAGCATTGCATGAACCTTACTGAAGTGAGAGAATGCTAGACTTTCAGCTACCACACACGGTTAGCCACTAAAGCCAGCATTCAAAGAGAATTTAAAGTAAATTTCTAATTTAAAGGCACACTATAGTGTTAGGAACACAAATGTGTTTTCCTGACACTATAGTGTTAAAAACACATTTTAGAAGGCGATGATATTTACCTTTATCGCAGCGCCTCGGCTGCCTCCTCCCATGATCTGTCTTGTTGACTGAGATTATCACAATGGACAATCTCAGCCAATCCAATGCTTTTCCATATGAAAGCATTTGGAGGCCCCTCCAATAGATAAAATAATGGTAGAATAACTTTATTACAACATGCAACAATTGGAAAAATTAGATGCACATTAAGAAGCCATGAGGCTGTGGTGCATGATGGGGGTTAAACACTGGGTTTATATTTAAGAAGGTACATATAAACCAACCATTTCACAGAACGAGCAATTCACCAGGGTTTGAGACAGGGATATCCCCTGATGCCACAGAGACTGACAAATATACAAGTGATGCGTTTCACCCCATCATGGGCTTCGTCAGACGTGTTGTTAAAACTTTTTTGAGGTACAGTTGTCCTTTAATTGTTTTTCTTCCTGCAGGATATGACTGCTATGTACTTTTTACACATTGGATATAAGCATGTATAAGTGATGTGGGTCTAGAAGAGGCAATGTGCAAATGACCACCCTATACAGGGCCCTCTAATGTAATTCCATTTTAAATTAACCATTAAACCAGTCTGTGTGACATGATACAGGGATAAATAACTGATGCAAAAATGCTTAGCTATTGCCTCATTGTTACAAAGCCTTTAATTGTCCTTAAGTATTTGCATGGTAAGCAAGGATAATTGCTGTAATAGGGAGTCATTCTGGCTTTTTCAACGACTCAGCATTTTATTCTTTTGTTTTGATTAATTTATTTTTTCCCTGCAGTTAGCTATAGATAAATTCCATTACTAAACACACATGCAGACTGACATGTGATCACTATAATGAACTGAATTAAAGGGATACTATAGTCATAAGAACCACTACCGCTAAATGAAGTGGTTTTGGTGTCTATAGCATATCCCTGCAGGCTTTTTTAATGTTAACACTGCCTTTTCAGAGAAAAGACAGTGTCTACATTGGTGCCTAGCAACACTTCTAGTGGCAGTCACTCAGACAGCCACTAGAGGTGCTTCCTTGGTCAGTACCGCACAGTTTGCAGCACTGGCATTCATCTTCTCCACGCTCTACAAGGAGACACTGAACATTCCACATAGGGATGCAGTGATTCAATGCATCTCTATGAGGAGACGCTGACTGACACAGTGTGGCGTTTTGCCTTGCATGGGCAATAGCCTCCCAATGCTTTCTTATGAGAAAGCATTGGGTTGGCTGAAATTATCAGGACTGAGGTGAGGTGGAGCCAGCCGGTGCAGCTCCAGTCTATGAGGTGGAGCCAGCCACGCCGAGACCGGTGCGGTTTGGGAGAAAAGGGGACTAAAAACCCATTTTCAGCAAGGCCAATCACCTAAACAGCCACATCAGGACTATAGACTATAGTATCATGTTTGTAATACTATAGAGTTCCTATAACTGCCAAAAGCTGGCAAACATTTATTTTAGTTAATTAAAAATAAAAAATAAATTTCTCATTTGCACAATGTAGTATTGTTAATCCAGAGGCCTGATTATTTATCCTTAATCTCCACAGTACATTTATTTGACCTATTTTGTCCTCAAATCTGAAATTCACTTTGATTTCTCACTTAGCAAATTGTGACGAAATGTAACAACCTGTGGAGAATCTAAATGAAAGTGTGAATTAACAATTAGGGTGAATTAGCTGATTTGGAATAATTCTTCAAACCAGCCATTGTCCCTCAGCGCTGGGTCGAAGCTCCGCCCCCTTCTCCATCCCACGATGAGCGGTTTCTAATCCCGTGGCAAATGCCATGCGCGCATTAGACCTCCCCATAGAAAAGCATTATTTATTTATTATTCAATGCTTTCCTATGCAGAGCCTGAGGACATCCAGTGTCAGATAACGAACCAAAAGTCCGTTTAGATTTCGGAAGCCCTCTAGTGGCTGTCTGTTAGCTGTCTGAACAGCAATGTTTACATTGCAGCACTAAGTTCAAAAGGGTAACAGCACCCAGACCACTTCAATGAGCTGAAATAGTCTGGGTGCTTACAGTGTCCCTTTAAGACAATGAATTGCAATTTGGTACAATTCGTATTTTATTGAATAGGCCCCACTGTCATTAAATATTGCTTTGCTGGTAATGGTAACTTCTTATATGGCTCAATACAAAATACAACATCCATCAGGATGAAAGAAGGCAATATGTTTCGAGTGTTCTGAACAAACTTGTAATAGTATATTTCCAATGGTTTGTTTTAGTTGTCTTTTGCAAAATACGTTTACATTCTATATAAATGCCAATACTGCCACTGATAATAATTTAATAACCCATTCACTCACCAATATGATTTTAATTAAGAAACTTCCTGCGTAAAAAAAAATCATATACATGTGCAAACACATTTTAACATTTTTA